CCTTCTGTTTCTCTCTCCCTTTCCTTCCTTCCTCCTTCTTTTAAAAAACATATTATCTATGTCTTATCTTATGATGACCAGTCTTACTCATTTTGCTTTCCTTCAGAGCCTTGCATAGCGGCCTACAGTTAGCAGATACCTGATAAATATTTGTTGAATTGCAATTAGTGACTGATTACAAGTGCGGCAGGGGCCAAAAATAACCAACGGCTCAAGCCTGGGTTATGGGAGAGAAGAGGATGCCAGGAGAAGCTGATCAGGGTTGAAGTCAGGTTGAATTTGAGCTACTGGCAGGTTATCCAGCTGACTTGAAATCTTGGGATGTAGCTAGAGTGGGGGGATTTTCAGGAACATCCCCTCTTTCACCTCCACCCCAGCTGGGGAGATAGTGGCTGTGTTTAAGAGCACAGACTTTGGTCTGGGGTCATATTCTGGTCTGCCACTAGCTGAGTACCAAGTTAGGTAGTCTTTCTGAGCCTCAGCTTTTTTCACCTGTGAAAGTGGGATAAAGTAGGACTTTATGAGATGGTTGTCAAGGCTAAAGGTGAGGTTAGATGTGTTAGTACAGTACCTGGGATAAACGATAGCTATAGTTATTAGCGATTATTCTTATTAGTAAGGTTAGGAGAAGGAGCTCATACCACATCGGTCCAAGCAAAGCCACCCCTGGCTTCCTGTTGCATGGCAAACAAAAGGCCGCCTCTTTCCCGGGCCAGCAGGCCTGCGTGACCACGTCCCTCCCACCTCTCATCCAGCACGCCCACTGTGCCTTGCTGGCCCCTGAATTCCACAAGCTGCTTTGATGCCTTAGGGCCTTTGCATTTGCTCTTTCCTTTGCTTGGAATGTTCTTTGCCAGATCTTGCATGGCTGGCTTTCTTTTTTTGTATATACTGTGTAATCATCATTCAATCAAGGTATAGGGTCTTTGGCTTCCTGAGATTCAGGTCCCAGTTCAGAAATCACTTCCTCAAAGCAACCTTCCCTGCCCAAGTCCCCTTGCCGTGCCCACTGGCACATCACGCTGCCTTATTCCCTCCAGAGCACTCGTCGTGATCTCTGGCTGCTTCGTGCACTATTTCCGTGTCTGCTTACCCCATCCTGCCCCTCCTTCCCAGTGACAGCACCGTGAGAGCAGCCACTTTATCACGTTTATGTCTATATCCTCAGGACCTTGAACAGCGCCTGGCACACAGCAGGGGCACAATAGATGCCTGTTGAATGGCTGCTATTGAAGACGCAAGGACAGGGGTGATGGCTGACGGGAACAAATCCAGTGAGGGTGGGAGGAGAAGGGCTCAAAGTGCAGTGGAAGAGCTGAACTTAGCAAGGAGGAGGACCACGTATTTCTGAGACAGGTGGGAAAGGGGAGGAAGGAGGTGAAGCTGGAGACATTCTGATATCAGGGCAGGGCTTTGAGAGGGCTGCTTCAGCTGACCGCTTTGACATTTTCGCAAAGTAAAGGGTGCAGTCACCTGCTGAGGGCTGAAGGGCAGTGGAAGAGGGGTCTGGGCCTTGAGGCCAGTGGAGGGTTTGGGAATAATTATACTAGCTGCCATTTACTTAGCACTTATGCACCAAGCACTGTTTCAAGTCCTTTAAACGTAACAGCTGATTTCATCTCATGACGATCCTATGAGGAAAGGTACTATTATTACTTCCATTTTAAGATGTGGAAATTGAGGCCCAAAGCAGTCAGTTAACTTTCGCCCAAGGTCAGACATCTATGAAGCAGCAGAGCTGGATTTGAACCCAGGAAGTCTGGCTGTTGGACATATGTGAAGAACCACTACGATTTCCTGTCTCCCTGGTCCCTGAGATGCAGATCTATGAAAGGTCAGCAAGAGATGAAGAGGAGAATTGTGGAATGAATGGTATATGGCAGGCCCAGGGCCAGTCAGCCAGTCAGCATGCTGTGCCAGGAAGCCCAGGAATGAGAGCAAAGAAAGTGAATGGGACCAGGTGGGAGGTGACTTAGGATTAGGTACAGCAAAGATGGAGGCTGAGGCATTCTAAAGTGCATGAAAGAGTGTTTCTGGGTAGGGAAAACAGCATGTGCAAAGGCCCTGAGGTGGGAAAGAGCTTAGCTCATTGGTAGGAGTGAAAGGACAGTGTCAGAATACAGTGGCAGGAGGGGGAGGGTTACTGGTAGGCATTCAGTCTAAGGTGGGGCCTACGCATTCGTATTTTTTAAGTACCCCAGGTTACGGAGCTAGGGTTGAGAAGCACTGATTTAGACCAGGTTCCAGGCGATGTTGGTTTGGGGACGAAACTTGGAGAAACATGCCCTTGATAACTTTAGAGTAGCCAGGGTTTAGAACCACTCATCCAAATTGAAGATGGGGAAAGTGAACGGCACAGAACCACGGCTTCCAAGTGTGACCAAGGAAGAGACAAGCCCCTCTTCTCCTCCCAGGGAGCTGGGGGATGGGAGCAGCTTCCATAGAAGAGAGGTAGCATTGGCTGGGTAAGAATCATTTCAGGTGAGGAGAAGCAAAAGGTGGAAACGGGGAATTGATGCACGAAGCAGATGATGAAAGAAGGGCTAGGAGCCAGGCACTACCAAGGCAGGCAGAGCCGCGTGGGAAAGAGCAAAGGGAGGCTGATGGGGGAATGGGCAGAGCAGTGGGGGTGGTTCCTGAGGCTTGACAGTAACCAGACGTCACATGCTGGTGATGGGGCTCAGTATTCATCCTTTAATTTACACCTCACCCCCACTCCCAAGATTTGCAGCCAACTCTGAAATACGGAAGTATGGAAGGTGGCACGGCGGTGTATCTGTGGTAGAGGGAAGGAGGGCAGTAGAGGAGGCTGAGCATGGGGTCCAATTTTACCTACCTGACAAGGTTGTTAACATCAAATGAGAGCCAGAGAGCCTTTGCAGTGTCATAGAGTCAATGTAATATAGTAGACAGCTGGGGCGGGGCAGCGGGACATAGGTTAACATCTATACAGCACCCACTACGTGCCAGGTACTATGCTTGCTACTTCGTTTCTTTCTCATTTAATAACGCAATGGCTGGTGGGCCGGAAAGTTGGATTTTCTTCTAAATGCACTCGGAAATCACTGAGGGGTTTTCAAGAGGGAAGTGATGAGATTGATGTAGTTAAGTCATATAAGATCAGTACTATTCCCATTCCATTTTATAGGCTAGGAAACTAGAGGTTAGCTAGTCCAGGGTCACAGTGAGGAGGGGCAGAACCGAGATTGAAAATCAGGGCTCTCTGAGATAAAGGCAATTGTGGCAAAATGTGAATAGTTGTTGAGTGCAGGTTAAGGGTATATAGGATGCTCACTGTATCCTTCTTTTCGACTTTTCTACATGCTTGAAATATTTTGTAATACAAAGTTAGAAAAGGGCTGGCCCGGTGGCACAGTGGTTAAGTTTGCACGTTCTGCTTCGGCAGCCCAGGGTTCGCTGGTTCAGGTCCCAGGTGCGAACCTACACACAGCTTGGCAAGCCATGCTGTGGCAGGCGTCCTACATATAAAGTAGAGGAAGATGGGCACAGATGTTAGCTCAGGGCAAGTCTTTTTATTTTTTATTTTTCCTTCTTCTCCCCAAAGCCCCCCAGTACATAGTTCTATATTTTTTAGTTGTGGTCGTTCTAGTTGTGCTATGTGGGACACTGCCTCAGCATGGCTTGATGAGTGGTGCTAGGTCCGTGCCCAGGATCCAAACCGGCAAAACCCTGGGCTGCTGAAGCAGAGTGCGTGAACTTAACCACTTGGCCACTGGGCTGGCCCCAGGGCCAGTCTTCTCAGCAAAAGGAGGAGGATTGGTGGCAGATGTTAGCTCAGGGCTAATCTTCCTCAAAAAAAAAAAAAAAAACTTTAAAAGTTAGAAAAAAGAAAGAGGTCTAAATCCAAAGCTTAAACTCTTTTTTCCCCACCATGCTTAAGTCCCTCATTGTCCCCTCTGGCCTGACTTTGCCCTTTGGAACAACGAGATTAGGTTAGTCCATCACTAAGTTTCTCTCCCTAACTTTGTGATCCCAATGCGGCGGTATGCGGCTTTAGATTATTAGGCTACACCAAGAGCCAGGACTTCAACTTGCTCTGCAGTGAGAAAGGCCCAGCAGTTCTCCTGAACAGCAGCCTGGGATGCAGCTGCTAACCTCTGGAAAGGTGGTCACTGAGGCTGCTCCACCACATTGTCTGCTGTGTAAAAACTACCGGGTGTCAGTCTCCATCCGCTGCAGAGAAATCACTCTCAGAAGGAAACACTTTCTTCTGCCAAGGCTTCGGGTGGGGCTAGAAAAACTGCTCATGACAACACTGAATCAGCACATTCATTAGGGTCAAGCTCACAGTCAGAGCGAACTGGAAGAAGGCCCTGGTTGAGAAGAAACCTCCAGTTGAGGCCTCTTCAGTCTCAAAGGGCCTGGAATCAGAATGCGCAAATTCATGATGGAGATGAGCAGGGGAATACAGGCACTGTGCTCAAATTAGGGGTTTCCTCCTCAAGTGTCAGAGTTTGGATTAAAGCCAAAAAAAGTACTAAATTTATGGACTTTGCCACCCCAAGAGGTAATAAAAGTTCAAAACTGGTTTTCAAGCGTTGCAGAATGAATTATGTGAAAACAGGCTGTCTGCGGGGCATGCCTAAACTATTGAGGCTAGGTTGGCAAGGACAACTGGGTTCTCCCAAAATGTGTACGCTGGGGTTTGTGAGATTTCTGGGGCCGGAGCAATCATGGATCTGACCCAATGTGACATTTACGCGCATTAAGAATCAGCATCCTTTCTCATAACAGTGTTATTTTGTTGTCTGAATCCCCAGGGTTAAAATAAGGATCCTTGGCTGGCCTCTGAAAGCACTGTAACTTCTTTATTAGCCTCTGAAAGTACGTGGCTTCTTCTGCTCCCCAAGGGCAAATATACTGAGAATTCTTACGCTACTTCCCTCTAAGACAGGAACTGAGCTGGGAAGACTGCAGCAGTCAAGGGACACCCAGTGACATGAGCCTCCCTTCTCAGCTCTTCCTCACCAAGATCACACTTTGATTTTTCACACAACATATATTTATTCAGAAAAAAATTTGCAATAAATTATAATAAAAAAGATGACATGAAATACAGAATCCCACTAGCAGCTTTGCTTAGTGACTAAGACATTTTGGGGAAATATAACAAACAATTACAGAAGAAGAATCAGAAAACAGTGAGAGGGAGACTAATGCAACGTCGCCACATGGGTTTGAACCATTTCTTCCCTAAAACAATAGATGCAGAGTCCTTCCATACCAGTTGGATCTGAACTCCTTGAGAGGAGCTATGAAGCAGTACGTTAGAGGTACTTAGGAATTCGAGGTTGGGATGCTGGAGTAGGCACAGTAGGGAAGCAGATTTCTGTGTCTGCTCTATCTCTTTGTCTCCCCTACCTAGAGATTGTCTGAAACCCTCAAACCTGTGTACATCCCAGGACCAGAGCTGGCAAGGCTGAGGCAGTAAACCAACTTAGTGCATTTGCCTTGTGAAGAAAGAGCTAGGACGCTGTACACAGCCCCCACTAACCACATCTTTGATCACCCAAAGCTCCCAGGTTGGCAACAGACTAGAAAATGCACCCAGGACGGGCATTTCCCCGTCTTTGTATTACAACCTTGCCCCAGCTTCTATAAACTGCCTCTCCTGTGATCACTTGCTAGCCTAGTGGAGATGACCACAGTGTTCTGCTCGCAGTCTTCTGTTAAGTAAGTTCAACACCCAGCCCCCAACCTATCAGATCTGCAGCTATTTGGCACCAATAACTTGACTCCTAGTTCTGTAACTGCCAATCAGGAAAGGGTTTAACCAGCATACTGCAGGCTACGTACCTTTTCTTCCCCCAAAGAACTCAACTTTGGAGATGGGGGAATTGGAGAACCCTCAGTGGTGGTGTTTCCCCTGGCTCTTTCCTTTGGTGTGCTGGAAGCATCAGGAGTCAATGCCAAAGACCAGACACAGAGCCTGTATGTTAGGCTCCTTGGATTTAACGTTAACAGGCAAGAATGAGTCAACTTAGGGTGGTTTTAATGAAAGAAAACCAGGAGGAAGTCAATTGCATCAGGCAGTTCTGTAGTCAGTGGCTTGTGGCTGGTTTGCCAACCAACATAGATTAATTTTAAAAAAAAAGGCTGCCCCACAGAGCTTGAGTAAATGAAAAGCTCAAGGGTTGTCTCGGGTGGGAGAGAAAGTTGCTTGGTTGGTCCCACTGGACAGTCTCTTTTACACAGTACTGGATAAGGTGCCTGGGAGCCAGGGGGAGCTGGCTGTGGAGCCCAGAGTCAGCCCTGATGAGGGAGGGGGCAACATCTGCCCCCTGGCACTTCTGGAGACTGGAGAAAGGGGGTCCTAAAGGTTATCTTCAATACCCTTGCTGGGGGGAGGAGCAGTATCTCTAGAGAGGCTCACTTGAGGTGCAGACTCCCTTTTTTACTGTGGTGCAAGTGTTGCTCCGGAGGCGGATTTCTAAGTGGGGGATGGGTCCCACAGACACCCAGGATTAGATCTCATGTGAAATTTAAATAAGAACAGAAATGGATGGTAGGAAGTAGGACTTGTCAAACATGAACATTCTCACTCTTAAAATACCCAAAGCGCTTCCACTCTGATTGTGATTCTTCTCACATCGATGGGATGTCATCTCTAGTAGTTCCTAAAGTTCTGCTACTAAATATGGTCTGAGACAAGAGAATATGGTTCCACCCAGTGCAGATCCACGAAAAGGCCAATGTTACACAGACATACAGACGCACCGTAGTAGAAATGCACAAATGCATGTAACAACCACGTGTAGATGGTTAACTCACTATTGGGGACACCCAAGGAGTCACTAGCCTCACTCAGACTGCCTTCGACATGATAGTACTAGTGGAGTGGAGTGCAAAGGGAGGAGGTGGGGCAAAAGTGCTTTAGACAAAGGACTACAGACAAGTCTGAGCTACAGTAAGTAGTGCTTGTAGGCCTAGAATGGGAACATCTCAGAATGTAGGCCTAGGATGCTAAGGACAATAATGACAGTTGGGAAGGAGGGCAACAAACACATCCCCAGGTAAAGGAGTATAAATACAGATCTCTTTGCCTTATAAAGAGAACACAAAAACACCAAAATATGGTAACTTTGGCTTGGCAATATAAGTCTAAAAGTATTTTGCTGTGTAGGATATGGTAGGGGAGGGATTAGGAGACTCTTTTCCTTTTGCACTAGAAACAGAACTTTTTCACGCCAGCAGCCTCGAAAATCTGCAATAGACCCTTCCTGTGGCATGACTTTCAAATCATTCTGAAATACTTGGTGCCCGAGATCTTCTGTCTCTAGAATCTCGGAGAGTAGTAAGAGGAAAAGACTTATCAGTCTTCATCGCTTCCAAGCAGAAAACCCAGAAGGAACTGGATAGCACGCTGGCGGTCGCTTTGAGTCTGTCTGGCCATGAGGTTGGGTGGAGGCCTTAGGAGAAGACTAGTGAAGAGAGTGGCTACAGGGCGAGAGAAAGCAAAGGGGAAAACCCTTTGTCAGACACAACCTAAGCAAAGCCTCAGGGCTAGGGGCTGGGGGGCCAGGGAACGAGAGCAGTGAAAGGGAAGTGACTGCCATGTGCCTGGACATTAAGGAAGGAATACACTGTGTGCACTGGACACAGGCTGTCCCAACCAACACCCCCATGTGGCCATTCTCATAAAGTACTCTTACCAATCATGTTGGTGCTGACGTTGTTGTATTCAGAGAATTTTAAGAGTTCTCGAAGGAATGCCATCAAGTAACGGAAAACATTTCTATGGCACCTTGGAAGCTGGGAAATCACCTGTTTTAACAAAAGGGGGTCGACAGTGAGAACAGGTGGAAGAAGGGAGTAAAAAGAGCTTATAGTTGCCAAAAAGGAGTTTATAATCCAAGGACAGGTCCTGTAAGGACAGGACCCCATTCATCTATCACAACCTTCCTTTATTTACTCACGACCAACACAGCACCCGCCAAATGATAACTTCCAAGTCAGAATGGTCATACTGTTTGGTCCCTGTCCACTCAATAACCAGGCCATGTGGTCATTAAACATTCACATGCACAATCTGCCTCACAAGGAGGTCTTTTCCCATCTCTCCATCCAGGTAGCCATGGCATCTGCCAAGCTGAATGGTTTTCTCTGCAATGTCTTTAGCATGGATGGGAGCTCCTCTTGATATTCACTAGTCTGATTCAGAGGTATCATCAGCTATTGTGCATCAACATCATCTCAAGGTTAAAAAAAAAACACCAAGAAGACAAAAGAAGAAAGGTTCACAAGTGTCACGCACCCCTCCTGATAATGTCAGCCAGAACCTCATGTATGATCAGCTTCACCAATTGTGCTGCAGAGTAGAGATAGCCACTCTACTCAATAGGCCAACTGGAAAAGGGTGGCAAATACAATAGGAAATGACACAACCTAAGATTTAAGGGTCCCAACTCTCAATGCTGGTGTCCTGCCATCAATAACAGATCGAGACCCATCCTACCACATAGCTGGCTGCCCATCTGGCTTTGTAAAATTGATGATTTCTCTATGGGGAAACCTGCCCCAAACACATCTTCAGAGCAATAAAATCACCTGTCGGCAGATCTGAGGATCCTGAGCAGAGTCCAGGCATCGCTGATAAAGCTCATAACAGATGACGGGCTCTGGCAGGGCTTCCAGGAAAATGAGCAGTGCTTCAGCCACCGAGTGATTACTGCCAGCTGGATTGACTTAAGTCAAGGGAAAGGGGCTCCAGGAATAAGGCCACACAGAGACCCAGCTGCGTCCTTCCTCAAGCTCCTTCAGGGACTATTTCCTTCCTCTTATTCAGGGCACACTGATCCTAACTGGGGTTTGATTTTTATTGGTCCAGGTATGCTGTAGGTGAATTGTTATAGAACTGATCAAAGACTCTCGGGAGGTTTGGCCCAACTTGAGGGTCAGGGGAATACAGCCTGCAGAAGGACAGTTCACACTGGATCAGTCCTGGAAACTAGTCACCAATGTTTCCAATCCTCCTCCCTGTTCTAGTGACAGTACACGTGGTGGCGGGAGTGATTAACCACTTGAAGCAGAACAGTCCAGTGCTGTGGGTCTTATGTTCCATGCCTATTAAAAGTCACTGTTATCTACTCCTTGATTTCTTTTAGTAAGAGTCTGACGCGGAGAGAGGTGAAAGCTTCCTGAAAGGAGTTGAGAAACAACTGTATGGTCAATGATTACCTTATAACAGAAGACAGTTATGAAGAAAATAAAGATGGAAACACAAAAATCAAACGTAGGTAGGAAGAAGAGTTTGGCCAAGTACTCATCCAGCTTGCTAAGCTTTTGCTGAAAAGGATACGGATTGTCTCGGGAATGCTGGTATCCAGACAATCAATGATCTGCTGTAACTCCTCCTGCATTCCAGGGGTTTGGAACAGGTCCTCCTACCGAAGAGGTCACAATGAATGGAACAAGGCAAAATAATCAGCCCTAAAACTCTGAAGACCACCCAGGAATCAGGAGAGCAGCAGGAGAGCAGCAGGAAGCAAAGGGAAGGGTGGTATGCATAGGGATTCATGATTAGGAAAGGAGGCGCGACAATGGCACCTTTTCCCTTTATCATCTCTATAATCCGTGTGAAATTTTATTTCAAACCAGAAAATTACCTTCAAAGGTTTTAGCCTATACCTGATATGGCAGGGGAGACTAGATGGCTAGATCAGGAGACCAGGTATCCCCACTTCTAGCCTCTTGACAAGTAGAAGGCAGAGTCCAAACAGTAGAAGTGCATTCAAATATGGATACTATGGAATGCTAGGGCAGGAGTAAATGGTATGTCCACACTAAACCTTGCTTTCAAGTTCTATTACTCTTCAGTAGATAAGAAAACATTATCCTTCAGCTTGGTCCCAAGAAATTTCTCTTTTCTGGGAGAATGGGTGGGGGGTGGCCAATATTTTAGATAGGGTTTAAAAGAAAAATGAGGACCAAATTAAAGAAACGGGCTTGAAGTTTGCTTTGGACTTTAAAATCTGCACTGCCTGCATGACAGCTAAAGCAGGCATTACAGCCTCAGCCCCAGCTCCGCCAGTATGCTTATGCTGCCGTCTTAGGTAAATCACTTAGCTGGCATGCCTCAGCTCTCAAGTCTGTAAACAGGGATACCTCCATCTGCCCAGGCGATCTGACAGTGCTGTTCTGGAGGGAGCTTGGGGAAGTTAAAAGCACTATACTGACACGAGGCATTATCATTTCCCACTGGACTCACACACCTTCCAAAGTTGCAGGGCAGGCCCTCTCTCACTTACCTGGTGACAGGCGTATTTGAATAAGTGATCTACCAGAAGCCAGATCTCCTTGGGGACTTTAAGGGGTCTCTCACTGGCACCTTCATCCAAGGGAACCATCTGAAGAAGGGATTTCTCCTAAGAGATGAAAAGGGATGAGAATCAAAGGGATCTTAATAAGAACGTGTGTGTGTAACTTAATCTTCTTCAAATCCTGCTAATGTGGAGTACAATTTGATCTTCATCTCTTATGATTTTTCCTATTTTTCTCACTGGGGACAGCCCTGGTCAGAGGGCACTCAATACTGATTCCCACAGTTAAAGGATCTCCTTTTCTAGATGTTTCACTTAACTGTTAAGCATTCTGCTTGGGTTTATGATGTTTATCACATGGATTCACTGGCTGTTGTAAATCCTTTCAAGGGTGACACTGAGAACCAGTGGCCCAGCAGTACAGTCAGGGTAGAGTCCACACACCACTGGAAACTTGTGGACCATTAAATTACAACTGTTAATATAGGACTTTGAGAGAGCAGCATCTACTTCAGTTTTTGTTGACTTTAACCTATTCTTTTTTCAGGTCTCACCACAAATACAGTTCTCATTGTTGATTTAAATGAGGTTCTCTGATCCTCAGGAATTAAAGATAATTCTCCAGATTAAACCTACATACATGAGTATTTCAAACCTGATAGAAGATCTAATCTTAAGGCACTAAACTTATAAGCGTTAAGATCCAAAAATAATAAACTGAATACAGCACACCAAAAGCCAGATATACTACAAAAATGTCGAGTCTGAGTCCAGAAGTTATTCTTTATATTAGTAGCTCAGCAAAGATTTCTCAGGGCTTTGATTCCTTTCACCTATCTTTCTATTTTCTGTTAGAGTCTCCTGAAAGAATCTAAGAGAAAAATCCAGAAGTGATGTAAATTAGATCAATAACTAAATCTGAACTTGAAAATGGCTGGGGAATAAACTCAATTATCTTATGTTTATATAGTCAACTATAAACTAAATTATAAAGATGTCTGAAATAGGTTAAAAGGCATCTGAAGGCAGCCTTCAGAAAAATCCTAGTGGAGAAAACGGTGACCAATTTTTTGCATCTTCTCCCCTCCTCCACCTCCAGCTAAAGGTCATATATTATCTATGTTCAACTTTAGGAAATTCTGTTAATTCCATCCACAACCCCCAGCCATGTCACTTTAAGGGATGGAAAAGAAGCATTTCACTCCTTCCAGAGACTGTACACTACAGCGGAGCTCAGTGCTCTTCTTCACATCACCTTCCTTAAGCACCGGCGACCTTTTAAAGCCGCTGCACCTTTCTAAGGGAATGAGGAAGACAAGGGAGCATGACAGTTGGTTACCATTTAAAATCTATTTTCTTCACATTCATTTTGCTTCCTTCCTTTCTTTCCCTGGGATCCCAGCACTTGATATCCATGTTCCCTATAGCTGGCAGAAATTCTATCAGTGGCTCATCCACTAACTTCTTTCCGGTTGCAAGTATTAAATCCAGGCATACACATGATTTCTGAGGTAAAACACTGTCCATAATGCACTCTGCTCATTTTCTGGACCACATGCAACACATGTACAGATTCCTTAGCAGATGCCTCCAAACTTACCATACATAAATTAGTCAGCACTGATTCATGTACTTTTTAAAAAATCTGACATCCAGTTGGCACTTTTCCTGTACTAAGGCATTAAGGCAATACAAAGCACTGTCCAAGATGAAAAGGCAGAACATGGCCTGTTATTAACAGGAAAGGGCTGGGAAGCAGAGTCGTCTCAATCCTTAGTGGTTTAAAAAGGTTAATAAAATGTCAGTAGGTTATATACACCATCGACTATCCACTTTCAAATTCATGTGTGATAATATGAAATGTCATACTTATGTCTCTGAAGTCTAGAGAAAGATCATGCACAAGAAACAATAGTTTTTAAAACGCCCACAAATTATCCTGAACTCTAATTTTCAAAGGGAAACCAGGCCCACTTTGTCTTCTTTCAACAAGACACATTCGGTGCCTGATAAGCCTACACTTTGTAACCTTAGTGCTAAAAACTAAAGCACAAAAACAATACAGTGTCCCCAGCATTGAAACATTAAACTCTGTCAGATGGTGAGGGCACGTTAGATCCTGAGTGGAAGTGCTTTAAGAACGCTTCTCAAGCCCGCGCTTCTCTACTTGACAGTCCTGTGTGGGGCCAGGCACTCTCCAGCTCGAAGGCGGAGAGGCGGCAACGCACTGCAGGAGTGCTTCCCTAGGCTCCTCCACTAGGCATTCGGCAGACCTGGGTTCCAGTCCCCTCCACCCCACACCCCTGGTGTCAGGAGCAGTATGACTTTAGCGAGTGTTTCAACTTTCCTGAGCCTTGGTTGTCTCGTCGATTAGAATGGAGAAAACACCTTATCCTGTCTGAAGGCAGAGAGCTGGACGGATGATCCCTTATGATCTTGTTCAGCTCTATGGTTCTCTTCTATGCTCTATTTCTTGACCATATCTATGGATTCCTTCAGTAACTAATCACTATTATCACCAACCCCGAATCACTCTCACTGCAACAAAAATCCACTTCTGGTTTTACTGTCACTGGAAAAGGAGGGCAGTTAAGCGGTACCCTCCTCTACCTCCTGAGCTTTCAGATACATCAAGACAGCTCTTCAGTTACTTCTCATTTCAAAAGTCTGAGCCTGGAATCCTGAGCACTAGTGCTTTTATCTGCAGAGTCTCAATGACTTGACCAGTACAGTAAATATCTTTCCTGTACTTCAGACACACTTTAAGACAGCTGGCAGGACTTTCAGGGATTCTCATGGAGTTAGAGGTCTCTGATACGGGAAAGCCTAAGGGACAAATTCCAGGGACCACAGTTAAGTGTTAATCAAGCACAGGGAAACTCACAACCACCAATGGATTGCATTACCTTTTCTAGGAAGCTGTCTTCTTCCTGAGAGCAGAGCAGGAAAAGAAGGTCATTGACAGATAGAAAATGATTAGAATTAATTTACAGAATTAGAAACAGATCAGTATTATTAGAACTCATTAGCTTACTGGATACATATGCTTTAAACAGCTTTAAATTCTTCAAATAAATCATGATTATTGAAAAAGGAACACATTCTCATATGCAAAGTTCTCTATTATGCATATCAAATTTTGTGCAGTTTATTGAGACTATCACTCAAGAAATATGCATGTGCAGTCCTTTTGCTTTTGTTTTCTTTGGCAGCTGCCAGCTGACCCAGCCAAATGCCCGCTGCTGTCTTCTTTCCACATGCTACTTGGAGGCAGGCCCTGCTGTTGCACTGTGTGGCTTCTCACCTCACCCTAATGTCACGTCAATGGAAGAATTTGGTTGTAAGCCCGACAGTGGCCATTCAGAAGGAGATGGTAAGCTTCTCTCCCCTCCACTGCCATTCCTCTCACTCTAGGTAGCCTCCTAAGCGGTATCCCACACTCCTCTCCCCAAAGGTCCCTAGAGTCCCCAAATTTGGAGGTCCTTCTGAAATGTAAATTAATGTCATTTCAGACTTTGGGGACGAGAAGATCCCCTGGCATCCCCTGTTGTGTTTTCCTATAGGGTATAAGAGAAATAAGAGAAGCAGAGAAGAAAGTACTTTTTTTTCAGTTTCTCCATAACAGTATTATTGAGAAATAATTGACATACATCACTGTATAAGTTTCAGGTGTACAGCATGATGGTTTGATATACATATGCGGTGAAATGATAAGAAGGTACCTTTTTAATCATCTCTGTCTTTTGTGCTATTATTATAATCCAAGAACAACAATAACTACAGCCACCACTTAGAGAGCATCTGCCATGTAGTGGGAACCGTGCAAAGTGCTCATATACAATGTCATTTAGTCTGCAGACATGTGCAAAGTAGATACTATTCCCATTTTACAAATGAGGAGACTGAGGCTCTGAGAGGTTAAATTATTTACCCAGGGTCATGCTATTAGGTAGTAAGGGGCCGAATCAGGATTAGAACTCACATGTGACTGACTCCATAGTCATTACGATTATGCTTCCTTAGACAACTCAAAAAGGACAATGTGACTGCTTCCTGGACAGAGAGGCAGGGGAAAGCTGTGAGAATGTACCACTCAAGAACAAGCTAAAGACAGTGAGAAACTCCAGTCACAAGGCAGCATGGTTAGTGGAGAGAGCACAGGCATTGGTGTTACACAGTTCTGGGTACAAATCTTCGCTCTGCCTGTTATTAATTCTGTACAGGCCTCAGGCAAGTTACTAAACTTTATAAAGCCTCAGTTTCTTCATCTCTAAAACAGGGAGACTACTATTTACCTCATAGGGACAGGGAAGCACCCTAAAACCCAGGGGTGGTGGGGAAGTGGTGGTGCAGTATGCCAGCAGAAGGTCCGGTCTCTCAAAGCTCCTTGCACCTCCCCAGAAACTCCCAACTGGAATCCTCCCAACCCTGCCATGGGCCCCCAAGAACGTGAGTATAAATCACACAGCTGAGGTCTGATAGGAAAAGGCAAAAGCTCGATCTTCCTGTCCGAGACATGCTGGGGGCTGAGGGAGGGAGGGAGGATGTGTTCCCCGACATTCCAAGTGGGAAAGCTGAAAGCATTTCCCCCAAACAACTGTTCTATCTGGTGGCTAGGTTTTTTAGTATTATTAGGTACATTATGAATTAAACATGCTTTTGTGGTTTTACCTAAACTTTTAAATACCACATATAAAATGAAATAAAAATAACCAGAGTAATAGTGCTTTATAAAGTATACAATATTTATAGTATTGTAATTATAATACTTTTTAATGTGAAAGTTAATTCAGAGTACCAAACATGTAATTTAACACAATTTTGGAGCACAACTTTTTCTAAAATTTAAGACTACTTATTAACAAATAGAGAATCTGCCTGTCTGACAGACTTCTCTATTTTCCCTCCCATGAATACACGCCACATGACACGATGAGTAAAACTAGGCAGAGTTTTTATATACTAACCTGTCAAACTAGGCCCTCAAAGAAGTTTTCTTCGAGCAGTGACCTCTACCAGTGCAAGGAATGGTACTAAGTGCCTTTAGGGGGTGGGGATGATGAGAAATGAGACTACACGGAGGAGAAAGACATGGCCCCTGGCTCGGGTTTGCAACTGAGTTGGGGTAAGGAGTCCCACAATTTATGGCCTGATATTGTTATAATTCACAAACACGAGTTCTCAATAAATGGTTAAAACAACAAACAAAATAGGGGTTCAAAGGAAGGAAAGATGACTTTCAGTTGGGGCTCTGAGAGGGATTTTTCACAATGGGGATGAGACCTAACTAGCCCTTAAAAGGTTCACGGGGTTTTAAAGGGTAGAGATAGGGAGGGGACTTACAAGTGGAAGGGGAAGAAATAAACAAAGGTGCAGGAAGGTAAATCACAAGGTGAGATTAGGAGAAAAGTTAGTCATCTGGTTTGTGGGGAGCATGGGGGTATGTTGACAAAATAGCGGGAAATAAATCTGAAAAAGGTATGTTGAAGTCAGACTTTGGGGGACCTTGAATGACAGGGAAAACGATCTGGATTGCATTCAGCAGGCATGGGGGAGCCACCGAACTACCTTTAAGCAAGGAAGTGATAGGCCTCAAAGCTATACTACAGAAAGATTAGTCTGACAGACCTGAAGAGGAAAAATGGAAGGGTAGGGAGATAGAGGCAAAAGGCATCATTAAAAGGCTATCAAGGTAGGTCAAGGAGAGGGTAGACTCTTTAATGATGTGGAAATAATATTTTTTAAAAAATGAATTGATACAAGAGAAAACTCTGAAAGAAGACTCAAAAGGACTTTGATTAGCTGTTGGTGGAGGGGCAGCAGGCTTACATTGAGAGTTTACTTCTCTGGCTACATACGGCATAAAGTAGATGTAAATTACATTTATATGAACACTTGGCTCAAATCTGAAAACAGAAACACAACTTAGTCCTCACTAATAAACAACATACTCCTAAGGTAGTCCTAAGGTTGCTGCTAGTCACTTAGTTCAACTGACCTACCCACTCTCTGCAAAAGGCTATGCATTGATCACATTAAAAAAAGGCACCCAGTTCACGAATCCCCAAGTGGGGAAACACTGACACACTACAAATGCATTGCAACTCACGCTTCACCCCAAAATTCACCCTTAGAGGAACTTTCTCAGTAGTAAACGCAGCTAAAATAATGTAAAGGGTCATTTAGAAGGAGACTCAAATTTAGAAATAAAAAGCAGAAAACTGAACAGATTCTGAATTTCTAGAAAAGATTAGTTCATGTGAAATGCAAAGAGAAGAAACACAAACCATACATCTCACAGGAGAAGAAATGGGTGGTCAGATCAGGAAGACAAAGTAAATACCCAGCAGAGCGAGCACTGGGGATGAATTAATCACCAAGCGGTTATTCTCATTTTTTCAAATTTTTGATAATGCTTCTCCTAATAGACATGTCCCCAAGCAAATACAGTTTGTCCACTCATCCCTCAACTTTTTTCATCTCTGTATTTACAAGCCAAACTTTAACCAGATCTGGCGAGTTCAAGCCTGGTCTCCTCTCCATTAGTCTAGTCTACAAGCAACACCACAATGTTCCTCCAAATGTGTCAATTTACAACCTCATACTACTCATCAAAGCCTTCTGATGGTTCTAGATGCCCTCCGGCATAAATTCATCTGTTGACTTTGAGACTCTCTATCCCCTGCCCTAAGCAGCTTCACACACTTTTATCCTTAATCTTTCCTCTTCAAAGGGAAATCTTATAATCTTTCATACATGGTCTTTTTGCTTTCACCTTCTAACCTTTATTCACGATGCCCCTTATGCCTGGAAGAGCCTGCTCACCCAATATATTAACATAAGTTTCTTAAATACTCGGACTTGACTCAAAATACTTCTTTGGTGAACCCCAAGTCACTTTTCTAGTTCACTTTGTTATGTGCCGAACTCATTTCTAGTCATGTTAATGTTACGTGCATCAACTATTCATTAAAGCCAAAATAGACTGATTCCGAGAAACTGATTTTCACAGAGATAAGCTGGTCAATCAATAAGCTTTTATGGCATGTAAAGGCTTGAGTAAACAGCACAGGAAAGGAATCTATTGTTAAGACAAATTACAAGCTCCATAACTCTCATGGACTTTCTAAATGACTTTCCAAAATATTGACTTAGCAAACACACTGGACATTAGCCAGTAAAGGTAGTTAATGTTTAGATCATCTCTAACCAAACTCCCTATTAACCTTGATTTAGAATTTAGCTGTATGGGCAGGAAGACTGAAAAGGACTTAGGCCAGTCACTTCATTCCGCATTTGCTGGAAAGAAGATATGGCACAAGAATCTTTCTGAAACAGTAAATGGAGAGTCAATGCAGGCACTGAACTCATTTCTGGTTTCTCCAAAATTTTAGAGTAAATAATACATAAGAAAGCAACAGGTACCATTATTAATAGCATAGTCTCATGGGATTTGAAATATCATCTTGGGTCTTGGAACAAACATGAACAAACCTAAGAAAGCATTTCAGAACCTCAAAATCAAGTCAAAGCAGAGTGGGAAGGTACTGCGAATGGGGTACAGACAATCTTAGATTTCTCCTTCACTGCCCCACACTAATATGGCTAATTTCCTCAACAATGAGATACAGGAACTTACTAAGACTGAAATGCAAAAGGCTGTGAAAAGAATCAGAATCCTAAATCCTACAAAATAAAAGCTTTAAAAGGATAAATGATGACCACACACATACAAGTTAATAAGAACTCAGCAATTTTGTAATTAAAAAATGATCAAGGTTCTATTTCTTCAAACCTTGAAACCTTTGTATACAAAAAGAAGCAAAGGGGCTTCCTACAGAGCCACTGACTCCACTAAAGATTTTTGCTACTTCATATTCATGGTCAAACATGGTTGAATTACCTGACAATATTTTAAACAAAATAAAAAAATTTTTTATGCTAGTTGAGCCTCCTTCCAGTCCCTTTAATTAACACAGGACAATTACAGTAAAAGGTATTATAATGTCTTTGCCAACTCTGACCAAAAATAAAGCAAGGTTCCAGGTTATAGGAAATAAGGTTGGAGGAGGGAGTATGAAAGGATAAGATTAAAAAATTACTGAGAGAAAACAATCAGACAGATTCAGGAAATGGTGGATCTTTGACTGGACAACTGTCCTGGACTCTCACAAAGTCAATGTCATTAAAGAGAAAAAGGGGATAACTGTTTGACTCTAAAAGAGACTGCAGAGACCTCACTAAATGTACTGCATGAATCCAGATCAGATTTTCATTGTAAAAAAAGCTATAAAAGAAATCCTGGGGATAACTAGAGAAATCTGAATATGGACTGGCTACTTTTCTTAGGTGTAATAATGATATTGTGCTTATATATACAGAAGCTGTCCTCCTTCTTAAGAGAAGCAGGCTGAAGTGTTCACTGGTAAAGTGACATATCACCGTTTAATCTCAAAATGGTACAGCAAAAAATGTATATGTCTATATACGTATGTAAGGAATGTGGGTGTTCACTGTACTGTTCTTTCAATTTTTCTGCACATTTGCCATTTTCATAATAAAAAGTTGGGACAAAGACAGCTGGGAAATGGTGTTTGGGATGGAGGGAAGTGGGTAGTAAAGAAAGGGAAACAACTTCATTTAGAGTATATTCTAAAAGGTAAAATACTAAATTTGAAAGACAGGAATATGATGGTAGAAGAAAAAACAAGAATCATGACAAATAAGAGAATGTCAGGATATGAACTTCTGAAGAAAATGGTTCCCTCTCAGAGGTAATACACTGTCATGAAGGCTTTAGGGAAACAAGCATAATTCCAAGAAAGAATGCTGAGGCTGGACTCAGAGTGTTTTAATCTGCCATCTGAGTCATAGCTAAAACAATTCCATGGCAACAGAACAGATCACACTCAGACAAGCCAGCAGCCTGCCTGCTGGTCTAGCCCTCCCCGCTAGATGATACAATCACTGTTCCAGCAGGCGGAAAGGATCAACGTGAATACTAATGGTAATGATAACGGAAGGCTGTCATGTCACTTAATTTTCTTTGGTAAAAGACCAAGAATACCCTTTTATAGCCCAAAGAAGTCTGCACATAAAGCCAACAATATTTTCATTTAGAAGAAAAGTTCTTAATAGGACGAACTTGTTACTAAATCAATTTATGTTACTGAAGATAATAAATATTTCCTCCATAAGGACACTGATATTATAGCTTGAGGTCAGCAAAGGGAAATCCTACTCTTTTCCTTTGTTTAGTGAGTCACAGCAAACATATGCCAACCTTCAGTGCACACTGTAATCATTTGGGATGCTGATAAAATGCAGCTTCCTAGGCCCCACACCCTGAGATTCTGATTCTGTTACCAGAGGTGAGTGGGGGGAGGGACCTGTGCTTGTGTAAGGGCCCTCGGGGGTTCTGAGGCAGGTTCACTTATAGGTATCTGAGCTGCAACAAGCAGCCAAGTTCAACTTGGATTAGATATGATAACAGAGTGAGGAGTACTAGACTGGGAGTCAGAAAACCTGGGCAACAGATTTGATACTAACTTATCCCACTTTGGGCAAGTTATTGTCTCTGTGCCTTAATTTTCTCATATGTTTAATGAGGAGAATACTGCCTCCCCCACTTACTGTATCTCACATACATGCTAATTTATACCAAAGGGACATGAAAGTGTGAAGAGCATAACAAATAAGTATTATATCTTTGAGAAGACAGCCTTTAATCTAATTACGTGAACTTTAGTATTATCTATTATATTCCTGACAAAAGTCAATTACAGACTACCCTCTCCTCTTTCCTTTTAGGTTAATCTAACGAAAGTAGTGCTAGAGTAAAGTGACGTTCTTATTCTTATTTATCATTTGACAGCCCCCCACCCCTGCCCCCTGCCAAAAGAGAAAGCACAGAGAAAATGAGGACATCACTTAAGTATTGTGAAAATTATACCTAAAGGAGGTTCATGTCTTAGGATGTTTCTTACCAAGTCTATGAGTTTGGTAACAGGAACTTCTCGGATTGGTCTTTTCATTCGGCACAAAGCCTCTAAGGATGTCCCGAAACAACTTGGGAGGTAATTTCCACTGATGGTCAAGAAGTAATCTTTGCCTCGATCCAGGTGAAGGACAAGAATATCTTCAATCTTATCTTCCCCTGAGTTCAGGATGGTCACAGAGTCTTTGCTGACATACACATCAAGAGAAATGTCCACTGTCTCATCTGAAACATAAGAGATGACACATGGTAACAGAAACTTCCAGCGGACAAGCAAAAAGGGGATGAGAACCAATGAAGAAGCGTCCTCTAAAAAATCAAGTGATGAAGAAAAGATTGGACACACAGAAGAAGTATCTCCAAAATAATGACAGTAAAGGTAAGACACATATGGTTAGAAAACAGGAAGTTAAACAAAGGGAGAGGATGAGAGTCATAAGGAGATGGTACATTGCAAGCAGAGACAATGGTAAAGGGAAAACTCACTTGGCTCCAAGTAGCCCTCAAAAGGTTCAGCCCGAAGCCATGGCTTGCAGTACTGGCTGTCATTAAGTTTAGGGATGAAAGAAAAATGGCAGGGAACCTGTCCATTGTTGCTGATCTGGAACTTCTCCTTTTGTAGTTGCCGAAACTTCACATTCTCAAACACAAACTGGGGAATAACAGACAGACACAAACATGCATCACTAGTAGGGGAAGTCAGTGGATTATTCCACAGAGAATATGAATAAAAAATAAGGTAATTATTAACCAAGTGTGTAACTGCTGTATGCATTCACTAACCGAACCAGCAGTAACACCATCCTCTCTTGAGTATTATTACACTCATACCGACAGAGGAGGAGTTAGGCAGCTCTTGCTACTTCCTTAGGCTTCTCTGATTGTTCCTGGGATCCTAAGAGGATACCCAACCTTGGGTCAGGACATTCATCCCGTGACCAAATCCTGGTGCCTGAGATATGAATTAACCAGGAACTCTGAAATATTAAATTAGAGCGGCTAACATCTGAGGGCTTACTTTGTGCCAGGCATTGTTTTAAGAGCTTTGAATGTATTAACTCATGTAATTCTTGCAACCACTCCTTTATCTAGAAAAGGAAACTGTGGCTGAGAGGGTAAGACACTCATCTGTGGTCATACAACTACTAAATGGCAGTGCCAGGAGACTTCAGCATAGATGGTCTTCACCACTTTGCCGTGTTGCCTTCTCTAAGTAACATGTTTTGGCCTGTGCTAACCACAACGGGCAGTAGAAGGGCGGCTGTGTATTTTTGCTCACCTCTCTCCTACTGAGTTCTAAGGAAGGAAGGAAGTCATTTTCCATTCTGTCCATGATGCGTACAATATCTTCAAACACTTTCCGATACCTCCGTTCATCCACAACCTTCACCTGAAAGAAAAAGAACCCTCTTTTCAGTCTGACGTGCTCTTAGCTCATCTTCCTTTGAGATTACCTAACAATTTAAAACTGGTCATTACAGCAATCACTTAAAATAAACTGTGGTGCAAATATCATCCTCAAACACTTTCTGATATCTTGCTCCGTGCACAACTTTTACCTGAAAGAAAAGAGATCCTTATTTCAGTCTTATGTGCTCTCAACTTATATATCTCTAAGTCTAACAATTTTTAAAAGGTCACTAAAACAAACATAAATTAAACTAAGCATTATAGAATCACACACTTTAAGGTAAAGGTAAGGCTAATTGGTTAACTTCCTGAAAAAGTTAAACCTCTGTGCTAAGAAGCTTGGCAATAATAAATATTTGGGAAGAATATTTTCTCGTTCCATTGTTAAGTTATTTGGAGGTGGAGAAAATGTGACAATTGTGGTAAAAATGATTTCCTGCACTGCACAAAATGAGTGTCAAAACACACCTATTACTGTTTCTAACAATGATCAGAAAGTGTTGAAACAGCAGAAAAAGTGATTAAAGCATTTAACACTATTAGCTGCCATGCACAACGCTCAGATTATATGATAAAGCTATGTTAGTAAATGGAACCTACAGCCATTTTAGAAAATGGCCGACCCAAAATGCCCTAGATTAGAGCAGAAGCGTGACAACAGAGAGACAAATCATCTTGACTAATAATCAAAAATCTCCCACCTGACACAGCACTTTCAGCTTCCTGATATAGCTGTGTTCTGTTAAAACTTCACACAAATTGATGCCCAAAATGAACAGATTTAACAGCGTTTTAACTTATTGAGATCCCAGTTTCTTTTTAGAATAGAAAATTTCACAAATTCGATGTCAAAAAAAAAGACTGAGGTATACAGTAGAGGTTGTAAAGCAAATGTGGATAATAAGAACATCAAAACTGAGCCAAATATCTCAAAGACTGGGGAGGTTTTTACATATCTGAACCATAGTGCTTAGAGAACTGAGGAGCAAGAAATCACTAGTGTCACCAGGGTTCATACCATAGTGTTAGGTTAAGAGGAATTTTATACTTTAATACTTTTACAAAATTGTGCAACTTCTTATTTCAAAAAGTATTTTATATATGTCATTGTATTTTCACAACAACCTGTGAAGCTACCAGAGCAAGGATTCTTTTTCTTCTGATAGTTGAGAATATCGAGATACAAAAAGATCCACTAAGTTGCTTCCTGCCACAGTTAATATCAGAGGTGATATCTGGACCTCTAGGGTAAGACCCTTTCTAAAATACCACGTAAGCAACAGGACCAAGTCGGGTAACGTCTTAAAAATGCAGATGCCTTGGCCTACTAATCATAACTCCAGGGATGGGGCCCATGCATTTGCATTTTTTAAAGTTCTCTAGGCAATTCTTATATCCACCAAAGTCTGAGAACCAATGCAACAGATGCCATTACCAAGTGCAGGTGTTGGAACCCTACCTCAGCTAGCCCACAGCAAGTCTTCAGAAGCTAAGTGGCCACTAAGCACTTGGTTCCTTTGTTAACAGTCGTTGATGCGAAGGGTGGTAAAAAAAATAATAATAATGTGGTTTTTAAAGCCTCTAATCATAGTATACCCAAGAGTCCAAAATATGGGGTGGTTACTCAATAAAATAAAAGCTTTCCTCACTGGGATATCACAGCCCTTAATGGCACATCAAGGATAATGAAGGGGAAAAACACCATAGAATGTCACCACCTGATACATCCATTTTAGAAAAGGGAAATTATTGACAAAATTAGGAATTAAGAAAAAAGTACAATGAGCTATAACTTTATGTAATAACATGGATAGCTCTCCAAGACACACCACTGAATTGAAAAAAGAGCAAACTGCAGACCAACACATATAGTATGAGACCATTTATGATATATACATACCAACAAACAGAATACTATATTGTGTACAGGTAAATAGAAAAGCATATGCAAAGGTCTAGAACTATGCCATCCAATATAATAGCCAGTAGCCACACATGGACATTTAAATTACTTCAAATTAAATAAAACTGAAAATTCAGTTTCCTCTGTTGCACTAGCCACACTTCAAGTGATCAGCAGCTGCCTGAGGCTAGTAGGTACTGTATTGGACAGGACAGATCTAGAACATTCCCATCGTCACAGACTTCTTAGACAGTGCTTGTCTAGAAAGATATAAATTCCTAAGGATAGTTGGCCTAGCTAGGGAGCGGGGCTTTAGGCGAAGGTGGGAGTAGAGAATAGAACAGGGATTGAAGAACTTCAGCCTGATCTGTAAATTTTGCTTAATTTTTTTTTTATTTTTAAAGAGAAAGTACTTTTGAATTCCTACGTAATTTTAAAAGTATTAAAAACTAGAAAAGTAGATCTTTGTTGAAGATACACAAAAATACACAGGAAGCATGGGAAATTTTTAAATCTCTTCCTGGGAGCTCTGGATTAATATATATGGAGCATTACAAATATTTCAAGGTTCTGAAAAGAAATACAAACAAAAAAGCCAAACGTAGCTGATTAAACCAAAAAGGTTAGAGTTTGTGGAAAGACATCCTTTTAAAAATGGATTAAGAGAACTCAAACGAAGAAAACAGGGCAGCCCACAAGTACACAACTAGAAATTAGGTGGGCTAAAAGTAGTATGTGAGAGTATATCTAGTCAGTAAGTTCTTTGGAACTATAGAGGCATTGTGGGGTAGTGGAAAGAGCATTTATAGGCCTGGGAGTTAAAGAGACTTAAGATTTGTATCTCAGCTCTCCTTCTAGCTGAATGCTCATAAAGAAGTTATTTAGGGGGCTGACCCGGTGGCGCAGCAGTTAAGTTGGCACGTTTTGCTTCTCAGCTGCCTGGGGTTCACCAGTTCGGATCCCAGGTGCGGACATGGCACCACTTGGCAAAAGCCATGCTGTGGTAGGTGTCCCACATATAAAGGAGAGGAAGATGGGCACGGATGTTAGCTCAGGGCCAGTCTTCCTCAGCAAAAAGAGGAGGATTGGCAGTAGTTAGCTCAGGGCTAATCTTCCTCAAAAAAAAAAAAGAAAAAAAAGTTTAAGAAGTTATTTAAACTAGTTAGTTCTCCATTTGCTCATCTGTTAAATGAGAAATATTTAATTCTAAGCATTGTTGTGAGGAGTAAATCAGATGTGTATAAATTTCCCAGCAGAGTTTCTGGCACATACTAGCTACTATCTGAGGAGTACTTACTATTATTATTTTAAAATATCAAGATGGACAAAAGTCAAGTCATGAGTGCCTCGATGAAATTTAGATGCTATTCTCAGACCAAGAACTAGTTTTGTATACAAAGGAAAAGGCCCAAAGTCATTCCTCTTTAAGACAGGAGTAAGATAAGACATGTTGGTGATAATCTATCTCAGAAGCCCCTAAAAATTGATATATACATAGAGGAAAGAAATCTACCCTACTGCGCTCTTCCCATGTCTTACCTCATTAATCTTTGTAACTGGGTACCATTGTTATCCCCATTTTATAGAGGAGGAAAGTGAGGCACAGGGAGTTTATATAAATTTTCCACGGTCACACAGAAAGTAGTTGAGCTGGGATGCAAATCTAAGCAGTCTAGTTATAAAGTCCATCCTATCAAGCACTGCACTATATAGATTCTGACAGATTATGTGACCACAGGTCTGGAAAATCTACAAGAAATTATCTAAATGTACTAGCTGTAATAAATTAAATCAATGAGATCCCAAAATATAACCTGCACACTAATAACACACTGCTAGAACACACAATGTGAAAAGAAAAACTTTACTTACAACAGAGACAAAAAGTTAAATAATTGGCCACTACTCCAGCCCAGGACGCAGTAAAGTTAAAGAAAAATTGAAAACCTGTGCTCCTGGATAGGAAGACTTCACTATAGCAGGGCTGACAATATGCCTCTTAAGGTAATTCACAGATTTGATTCTATCCTGACCAGTCAGTGCCTTTGCTCCTGCTGTTCCCACCCCTCCATCTGGAACCTCTCTCCCGTTCTTTCCCTCCTTACTATCTATCTGATGAGAAGCTACTCATCCTTTAAAACCTAGCTTCTAACTCTTCTTTATGTATAACGACTTTAAGAGGCTAAGGTTACTACCCAGCCGTTAGGCAGCATGAGAAACATCTGTGTCACTAAATGGCCTGGAGCAGGAAGAGCCATATGGACAGCATTTAGGAGGGTCAAGGGCACTAACTTCTCAATGCTGCAAAAGATTATTTAGTTATGGAAACATTTATGGCTCACTGAATTTCTGATCTGTTCTGAGCCTAAATAATGCTCTAAGAATAGATACTTAACACACAAATAAATGAACAAACAAACAAGTGTTTACCCCAATATTGAAGAGGGCGCTAACAGGCTTGTGGTCACTGGTTTTCAGTTCCATGTGACTCCGGTAATGAAGCTGATTAACATTTGTTCCTCTCCAAAGAATTCGGTCACACCAGGCTGGAACCCGACATTTCCCACTGCAAATAAAGAAAGGAATTATAAAGAGAACATACCACACAAGAACGTAATACCTACCACACTGGTTCAGACCTGGGTTAGGCCCTCTTGTTACATGCTTCTTCTCTAACGACTCCAACTATTATCTTCCCTGCTGTATTTGCAAGCTCTGTGAAGGGACTGTGCCTGTTTGCCACTGAATTCCCAGCCCCTAGCACAGTATCTGGTGCAAATTAGGTGCTCAATGAATAGTTTAGCCAATGAATAAATAGACAGCGCTCCTAAGATTAGGATTACATTTTCAACAACATTCTCCCAGGGAGATAATATAACAGCACCTTCTCAAAATATCCTCAGGTCAGGATTATATTCAGAACCCTTCCCCTTCCTTTGCTTATGAACTGCAATGACACTTCACAACAGATAGACAACTAATAAAATCTAAAATTCCCATCTTATATTTCTATACTGGGCCTAGTCTCTGGAGATAATAGTAGAGATTTCTCCTTTAAACCTGGACTTTTATGGACGAGTCTAGCTTCTTCTAATAGGGATGAACTAACATCTAAGTATGCAAGTCTGAACATATAACAGCCCATGGAATACCAAGGGTAGAGAAAATGCCTATTCATCATTCTATTAAAATAAGCAACACCTTGTACACCTGATCCAGAAGGTGACACAAATAAGTTCTTATCAGTAGCACTTCAGTTGGCTCTCAAGTCAGGTGAGTGGAAGAAACAAGGCAAAGTGTACCAGATCTGCCAGTGTCACTTTTCACTTGCTGACCAGCTCCCTCAGAGCACAGAGATACAGACGCCTCCCCATGCGACCCTAGTGCTCTCTGAGCCTAAAGAAGCTGAATATGCCCAGGGATTCTTTCTTTTTCAGGCTTCTGGGTTCAGCCAGCTAGGAAACCATGGGAAACCAAGAAATAAATAGTAGGTAGAAGACAAACAGTTACCGGGAATGTACTGACAGGGGCGCTTTACTGGGGGATATTAGGAAATTAGAGGGCCTCCTAGACAGTGGTTCCCAGCTTTCTCTGGCAGCTGCAGAGGTTGGGCCCAGGCATCGGTATTTTCAAAAGTCCCCCAAGCGATTCTAACGTGTACTCAGGATTGAGAACCACTGTGCTAGAAGAACCTTTCACGGCTCTCTGTTTTCAGCTTTGGGTGTCCTGAGTTAAACAGCTGAGAAACAGTTTGGGAAAAAACAGAACAGGGCAATAGGTAAGGAAAAGGAAATATGGGTGAGATCAGGAAGGCAAAAATCTACACAAGTCTGCTGAGGTTACAGAAGTGAGGCACTGCAGGCAGCCCTCAAAACTTCAACAGTCCTGACACAGAAGTCAACTTTCTTAGATGAGCTCACTTTTGAGTACACATGAATTAAATACTCTTCCATAATAGCACTGAGCCATTAGGATTTTATATCTGCTTCTGGCCTGACCTAAAAAATTCCTAGCCCTTCACCAATACAGAGAAATTGAAATAAGATCAGGCCTTAACCTATTCCATGAGGAGGTTCTTGTTACTTTACCTGGAATCCCATCGGTCTGTTTTAGAGTCATACTTGTAAGTGGGGGTAAATTTGATTTCCCCTTCAATGAAGTCGGCAAAAGCTTTTTTCTGTGTGCGCTGAATATTTAGCTAGAGATAGGAAGAAGCATTACATAAGCAGGGTAATGCCATCTTAATATAAGTGATAATGACGTTGATTAGCCATTTCTAAGCAGCTAGTTCCACAGCCTTTGCAACTGTCAGAGTACATAATAAAATTCCTGTACCTTAAAAATTAAATCTTGCCATTCCCATAGCATCTAAACTCACCCACAGACAGGATGCTTAGTATGAGTACATCATTAATTTTTTATTGCCAATAGAGGTCGGGTAAAATGGAAGAATAAAATCTGAATAATCATAAGTTCCCTGAAGTTAGACAGGAACCATCTAGTAAAACTCTAATTTTTTAAAAAAGCAGACAAATGTTGAATGGATAACTCCAAAAGCCAAATTCAATGAATCATTACAGATCGTTTTGAAAGTTATCCTCACTCTAATGTTTTACCAGAATTACATAAGACTCAGAATTTATTCCAACTGTACCCCCTTTGGAGGCAAGATAGAGGAAGAAATGCAAAGAAATTAGCCAGCCAATCTCAATGTGAAGGACGGCACAGCCAAGAAAGGCTCACTACAAAGACCATTCTACTGCAAAATACCTGAATTTTGACTATGTCTGAAGATCAAAAAGGTTCACATAAGGATTTAAAGACATTCAAGCCATGTGCCAGGTTTGGAGGCAAATTTATGGAAAACTAGGTTCCTGAATATTAAGTTTTACATAAATGTTACTGAACCAATGCTTTTCCAACAGGTTTTAACATCTATAAACCAGCTAGCCCCAACTTCTCAATCATTTACCACCAGATCCCAGTCTGTGCTATTTATCCCAGACAAACTTCTCTTCTGTGTTTCCCAACCCCTCACAGGGCCTCCCTCTTTTACCTCCAAGCTGTTGCTGAGCCTGCCAAGTAATCATAGAGCAGCTTTCCCTGTTTCCTCTGCCAAACCACATCAACATAGCTGAAGGCCCACTTCCTCCAGGAAGTGTTCTCCAATTAACCCCACCCATTCTCCAACTCATTTATATAAATCTCTGAAATCTCTTCTCGATAAAGACTTAATGAATAAATGTTGTATTTACTTTTATCACTAACATTATCTCCCCTCCTCCCATCTAAGCACTTAATAAAAACACTACAAACCTTGCGTGTATTCACTGCATCACTAGTCACACTGTTTTCCCAAGACTATGAGACCTTTCCATCTATTCCTAGAAGTAAGACACACCTCCCACTCATCCATCTCATAAACCTAACAATTTTATCTGCCATCTAGGAAAATATCTACAAAATGAAAATTTACTTACCTGGTCAAATTTCAAGAGTCTCTGAAGGTCATTCTTGTTAATAAGACTCTTCACTTCATTGGCATCAGGCATGCAAAGTCTATAGTTCAAATCTCCCAACCAGATGACAACACTGAGGATCAGGAAGCACATGAACAAAAGTAGCAATAATTAGCAGAAAAAATCAATCAGAGAAGAATGGAGAGAAGAAATATGGGTAATGATTGATAAGGATTCATTTATCACTATCTGACAAGGGGTAACTATCCTTTGGGGCCAAGTACTATCAACACCTGAGAGAGACCAGGGATTACAAAATAGGTGGGAGGAAAGGCACTTCATTCATGAAGAACAAAGACAGGCAAACACAGTATAGGTATGGGATTCAGAAGCCAAGGAGTTAACTGCCGGAGAGAAGCATGTAGTTTATTTGCTGGACTAGCTTCAAAATTTTGCCTGGCTGCTTGCCAGGTCTCTAGGGGAAGAGAATCTGAGCGTTTTCTGCCTCTCTGAGCCCTGATGTTCTGCAGGCTCTCCACTAAGGTCTGCGTGGTCTGAATGACAGCTCTCCCAGGCAGGGCTCACCAGCAAAAGTAGGTCCACGGCTCTGGGCTATAGCCAATCTGTCTAGCCCTGCCCCAGATCTGCAGTCCAAGTCCCAGGCAGGAAGGAGACTGGCATGCCACAGGATCCTCAGGCACCCAATGATAGCACCAGGCCCCTAGGTGTGCTGAGAGCCCCACAGGGGAGACTCTGAAATTACCACACCAAAATGGATTCTCCTGTGAGCTATCTCAAGTTGCACATGGATCTCTTTACTAATCTTAAATGCAATGTGCAATTTCTGGAGTCCTAGAGAAATGAATTTAAGGAATTTCAGGGCAACTTTATGACCATTAACGTCAAGGCCTTGACTTTACTACAGTGAAACAGAATTCCACATGATCCTAATTGCTGAGACCATATGGAAACAGGCCAATATCACTACCCTTCCCTATTCTTTCCTCCATTACCCTACTCTCTACTGATTCTAATACCCTTAAATTATGTTTTATTTTCCTACTAATTCCCATTTCAAACCACTTATTCCAAATCACATCACCCTCTCAGAATTTTAATTACCAGTATTAATTTCTTTACAACTAATCATTTTCTACCACCCAATCCATCCCTCAACTGATTTCCATTTCTATCCTTAACTCCCATCCTTCACTAACCTTTCTTGCATATTATGCTACTGATCCATTAGTGTCTTTAAATCTCCACCACCCCTATTCTTAATGAGTCACAGCTATTAAAAAGAATAATGTAGATATACACATACATACTGGCTTAGAAAGAGTTCCACAATAAATAGAATAATATAGTCCTATATAACGAGTATGTGTGCGCTTGTATGTGCATGGAGAAAAGTCTAGAACAGCACTATTCAAAAGAAATACAATTCACATCACAGACGTAATTTTAAATTTTCTAGTAGCTGCATTTAAAAAGTAAAAGAAACAAGTGAAAATAACTTTAACAATAAATTTCATTTAACTTATATACAAATTATCATGTCAACATGTAATCAATATTAAAAAATTGAGATATTTTATAATTTTCCCTACTAAGTCTCTGAAATCCAGGTATATAGTTTATGCTTATAGCACATCTCAATTTGGACTAGCTACTTTCAAGTGTCCAACGGCCACTTTTGGCTACTGGCCATCACATTGGACAGCCCAGTTCTAGAAGAATACACACCAAACTGTTAACTGGTGGTTTCCTTTGGAGACAGGGGCTGGCTGGGGAGAGTAGAGGATAAGAAATGAGAGATTTTTACTTTTAATTTTATCTTTTATCAGAATTACAATGAACATTTCTATTTTATAATAAAAACTGACTCTAAGTGACAGACCCCGGCCAGTATTACTCTTAGATGCTCACTAATAGAACTAACCTTTCCTCCGATAGCAAATCGGATTTCTCTGCCTCAATCAATCTGCTATTCCTCAAAAATTCTCTCTTCTTTGTGACCCCAGCACCTACATGATAATCCCTCACTCCTCACAGTTGTACAATCTCTCATCACGTTTAGTCTCTTCTCATCCCCACGATTCAAAGGCTAAAGGAGACTTGACCACTCACTCATGTTTCATGATGTTCAGCTGCGGGAGAGTCTGATTTGGGACCACAAAACTCATTCTTGCACAGATGTCCTTATAATCTTGATTCCTTCTCTCAAAGTCCTCCACATGGGCAGCCAGGTGGGAATTGACAATGCAAAAGGTAGTGTTGTGAAATACAAATCTCACAGCTACCCCACCTTTGTTTCCCTGTGAGCAAGAGTAATTACTCATAGTTAGTACAAAGACACAACTAGCAGTTGAACTTCACATGCACACAAATAATAATCAAGCTCATTTCCAAAGTAACTCACCATTTTCCCCATGATTCCAGTTCCAACTGTTTCTGTAGCAATATCGCGGATATATCGCCACTGATCCTTTCTGGCAAATATCAGGAGCATCATCCCAACAAGGCGGACTAGTTGAACCTATGAGTTCCAGGGAGTTAGAAAAGGTTCTTGCTACTACTCTTTGTCACATATCTAACTTCCCACAACTGATTTCCCACCGAGGAGACACAACAATGCCAAAATCTGAATCCAAATCTTCTAATTTCCCAGTGGACTCCATAAAGTGGAAACAAAATTTCTCTGGGGAATCTCTAATTTGGCTCTGACCAGTAAGAGTTAAGTCTTCAGGGACAACGAGTACACTCAGCTCTAGATCCATTATTTTAATCAGTTTTTAGCCTACCAGGAGTAGGCAGCATTAAAAACCCAATTAATAAATATGAAACCTGTATCCCAACTTGTTCCTTTTGCCTCTCCTTCCTGGTTTCTGGTTTCCAATTTCCTAAGAAATTAAAATTTATAAGACAGCAATCCTTTTTACTTTGATTATTTTAAGTCTGTGAACTAGAGCTAGAAATATGTCTGAAAAACGTATTAGTCAGAGACCTATATGAAAGGAATAACATCTTCAGGAGTTTTATTACCTACATCAACTGTTAGAAGATGTGGACAAAAACTACTCAGACAGATGACTCCTTTTAAAGGGCTTAGCAGCCCTGTAATTCAAATAACTCCTGTGGTAGCCTCTACCACGTGCCTTCTAAAGACCAACAAATTGGCCCACCTTGCCAAAGTCAACTTTACTCCTGACTTACAACCAAGTTTAGAACTCATTTAAATTCCACGACACCTATTATTGCTCTGATTCTAAAGCATACCCTACGCACCCACATGCTTCAAATTGCTTTTCTGTTTGAACATCCAGTTCTGACCATGTCAGTGAACAATTTTAATCTTAAACTCTTACTGTACAAATCAGTTACTTTATATGTAATTATTTTGAGCTAATTATTGTTATGAGAATAATAAAATTCTTTTTTTCTCCTAAAAGCTACCTGAGCAATGAAAACAGAGGATCAGAAAGCTTAGGGAAATTTTTTTCTAGGAAATAGGTATAAAGGATTAGTTTGCCATATTTCAATATTACACATGGGGAAGAATTCAACTAAACTGTTCTTTTGGAATAAGTTATAGATAACAGAATAACTTCTAGCAAGTTCTTTTTAGTTGTATACCAAAAAAAGATAATTAACAGCAGCTTACTTTCTTATACTTGGCTTTGAAATGCAAAGCCCTCTCCACAGCCATGGACCACTCTTGTTCCTTCACAGATTCAAAGTAGAAAAAGGCTTCTGTGCTCAAGTCCAGTTCTTGGAATCTGAGAAAACGAGAGGATGTGAGATCTATCCATATCCCATAATTATCTCTGACTACCTCTTGTCCCATTCTCTGAGACATTAGGTGAAAAAAGGAAAGGGAGAGAGAGAAATTTTACAGAACTGCTCTGCTGACCCAGGTGATCAGTACGGACAAGCAGCTTTGTTTTCGAAGACTCTCCACAAGTATATGCACAGGCTATGCAAAACATAAACCAAACACCTCCAAGAGGGATAACAGTGGAGCTTTTCTTATATATAGGAACAGTCACTGTTAGAATTGACCTCAAGCCTCAGTTTCTAAGAACAAAGTTTTCTATGGGTTTCGAGAGGACTAGATGCTTCCTTACACCATTTTAGGTAGCATTCCTTTCTCGTCTCACAAATTTGACCTACAAGTTAACTCTCACATACAGTCTACAGTAGGTTTTTATCAAATAGTTAAAAAAAAAGAGGGCAAAATGTCACATAAACTAACACCAAACATAGAGCCAAAAGGAAAGTGCAGACGTGTTCTTTACCCAATGCAGTAGATATCAGGAGGGCTCGGATCACAGTTCAGCCAAGGTTCTAACCCACTATCTGGAGACTGGCCATTCACGTTCCAAGTTCCAATAAAAAATCTAATACACAATACGAAACAATAATTTGAAAACGAAGGTCAAGTATGAACCAATGGAAATTCTCTCATCACTTCTATACAGGTGTATGTTCAAAATAAGCCAACATAAATTCTCAAAATGTTTTTGCCACACACATAAGAAAAATCTCTTGCACATAGAACACAAAGGCAGTGCGCTTATTCTCTCTAAATTTTACATTAGGTGAACCTACACAAAGGAATCAAGTCTCTATTTAGAAAACACAAAGTGAATTGCTCTACCACATTTCCTTTCAGTTAAACTCCATCCAAACTCATCCTTGAAGGGAAAGCCTGTGGATGCGAAAGAGGTAAGCACGTCTAACATGGATAAGTGCTCTGTAAGGAGCTGTAGTTGAATCCAAAAACTCACTTCCCAAAGGACTACAAGGACATCTGTGTAGGAAATTCTGTTGAGGCAGATGTAGTATTAAGGGGGAAAGCAGAAGGGAAAACTCATGACTGTCTTAACTGTTTACATACAAATATAAGCATCATGGGGAATATGAGGAACTGGAAGCTTTAGCATAGGAATATAGTCATGATTGAATTAGAATAAATGAGGCATAATGGGACAGCAGATGGGAGCAGAATCTTGGACTATAAGGGTACATGCTGTTCACAAATAAAGAAAAGCACTGCTGTTTTGCACACTGGGATACACGCCACACCACAGCATGCACCAGACACACTGGGTCCAGAAAAGAAGATATCAGTAAGTAAAGGTGAAATAAAAAATTTAATACAGAGGAAAGAATCCAAGACAGATCTTCCAATCAAGAGGACTGAGCAAAACTTTTTGTAGTTAACCTACCAAAATATGTTAACATCTAGTAGTAATGGTGGCCTTTAATTTTCCAATATTGGCGGGAAAAAATCCAGCAGGCCAGACAGATAAACACACTTGATTATGGAATGTGCTAGGGGATAATTCTCTAGTACATGTAAGCTTGATCTGGTTCTCTAAGAGCGGACAGAAACATTAGTAGACATGGTATCACCAGTGGTTAGAAAATCCAAGGGAAATTGTAGCCTTTCCATTATTTTGGATATGTATGTTATAGACCAGCATAGAGACAAGGGCTTGAATCAGCTGACCATTCCTTTTTATTATACTTTGATTCTTAATTAAGCTAATTAAACCAATACCTTAAATATCAACAGGCCATTTTCTGCTATACCTCAGTAGGCAGAAGAGAGACTAACCTGAAAGTCTGAATGTTGACATAGTCTTTCTCTCGCTTTGCCAGGAGATGTTTGATGAGACCCTCCCGCTGTCCAGACTGGGTATTGGGTACGAAGAGCTTCCGCATGGTGTTGGTCACTTTGGGCTGCTCCTTGTTAGAAGCTTCTTTGTCACGTGGAAGCCTAGCAATAATGAGAAATTCAAAAGTGAAACTGCCTTAAACAGGAAAGTCTCCTACATGGGAAATGTTTTGACATAGGACTTACTTACATTCTATTCACTGAAGGGGGCGGGGGGGGGGGTTCCCGATGAATCCCCATAGGCTGATTTTGTGAATTTATTTTCTTGTCCAAATTCATAGATGAAAAATTATCCTCAAATCCAAGAATCCCTGAAGGACACAGAACTAAGAGTCAAAGGTGGGAAAAGACAACATCCAACTTATCTAGGATACATAAGGCTTTGCTTTGATCAGTCGGGATTTTTTTGGTGGTTTTTTTTTTTTTTTTTTTTTTTTGCTGAGGAAGATTTGCCCTGAGCTAACATCCATTGCCAATCTTCCTCCTTTTTTGGCTTGAGGAAGATTAGTCCTGAGCTAACACCTGTGCCAATCTTCCTCTATTTTGCATGTGGGTTGTCACCACAGCATGGCTGACGAGTGGTGTAGGTCCGCGCCCAGGATCCGAACCTGCAGAGTGAGGCTGCCAAAGCCGAATGCACTGAACTTAACCACTATGCCACGGGGCTAGCCCCCTCAGTGGTTTTGATTTGATCGCTATTTGCTCAGTGGCGTCACCAAACAGAAAGTTATCATAAGGGTAGCAATAACTTAGATTGAGGGAAGAAGCACATCTGTCCCTGAAGGACTGGCATATTAACTAGAACAACAGTAAGTTACATTAATTTGGAACCTGAATAATAAGGGCTAACATTTATTGAAGACTTAGCACAATGCCTGGTTGATACTAAGGGATTATATCATTATCTCAGTTCATTGTCACAAAGACTCCATCAGGTCAGTACTATTAAAAATGTTCCCACGTTATAGAAAAAGAAATGAAAGCTCAGAGTTGTTAGGTAATGTGACCAAGGTCATATAACTAGTAAGTCACAGAACTGGGATTCAAACCCAGGCAGTCTGACCCTGGAGCCTGCACTTTTTACCACTCTGCTAAGTTGGCTCCTGAAGAGTTGACGTGCCACAGAAAGGATCAGGAGTGAACATCAGTCAGTGGGCACGGACTCGATAAAGCCACTCCATAGGAGAAAGTGTCTGACACTGACATTAATCCACGTTATCTTATCCATCCAGATAAAATCTATTGACTATGCAATGAACATAGCAACCAGGGAGAAAAGAATCTTTTCAGTACCTGAAAAACCAGAAGGTTTGTCCTTAGTGTCTAATTTCTGGTACCAGCTGGATGAGTCCTTTTGCTCTGGAACAAGAAGTTGTGACTGAGCTGGAGAGAGAAGTGTCATGGTCAGAAACTGGGGAGCCCTCTGTTGAGTGGAATTTACCATAACCAAAAGCCATTCACTCAGCACTCCTCAAATGCAGGGGGCCAGCAGCATTCGTGAATGTAAAGGAAGAGACTAAGAAAATGAGGGCAGATCTGGGATCATTTTGGGGCAGAAGGAGGATTACAGTTTGCAGTAAGCTGTCCATACCATGACACTGAAGATTCTGGAAATTGGCTCAGTGTCCTTAAAGCTGAATAGACTTGTTTCCTAACCTATCCCTGGGTTCATTCCCGAAGATAAACAAATCAGCTATCAAGGCTCAAGGGATACGGTACTTTGGCTAACGGCTGCTTGCCTCTGTGTCAGCATGTCAGAATTTCACTCTCATTCAAATAGCAGAAAGAAAACTGCTGAGTCTTGAGTTACCTTCCTGAGCAGCAAGGACCTCTGAGAGGAACTTCAGACAGTGTTCCTCATCAGGGATTTCAAAGCGGCGCTCTCTGGTCCAGTCCCCCTGAACCCGAATTTTGCAGCCACCTAAAAAGAATTGAAATCCATACACATATAGCTATGGAATACAATGTTTTCTTGGGATCATATTCTCACATTAGCAGTTTAACAGACGAAGGTCCAGATCACAAAGATCCCAGACCTCTAATGCAGGAAGCACGTCTGCAGGATCAAGGGATTCGGTGTGGTGGCGGAGGGGGCGAGGCAAACAGGGAAACCTAAGGGGCTGATGAACTGTGTAAAGGAACGGCCCAATGTAGCGATATGACACATACTAAAAAAGTCAGAGTTTTCTATGTTCTGATATATCTCTCAAACATCAATGCAGGGTACTCCAAATTCCAGCAAAAGACCAATTCCCCAAGCACCCTCCTCCCATCTCCTAGCTGGAAATCCCTACCATTTCAAATCCAGATCATATAGTAAGAGTATCTAAAGCATGAAAGGAATAGAGCAAACAGGATGGTTTGTTCCTAGGTTCACATTATACCTAGACAATTGAATTTACAAACTAATTAAAAAAAAGAATAGTGGGATTGATTTGATATATTCTGAAAAGAAGCATCTATACCTCATTACCTCAAGTGGAAACTGTATGTCTTGAATAAACTTATAAAAGTAATATAATGATCTATGTTCAGGAGTGGTCTGGTTCAAGTATGGCCAATTGGAAAACAGTATATAAGTAGAAGCAAAGTTATCTAAGACTTTAGTCTCTTTCGTATATAACATAGTCTTCCTTTTTATGATGCTCTCTAGTTATCATCTGTATCAACTGTCTGGATATGGTGATCTAGGAAGCCTATATACTTGTTTATATTCTTATTTTAACTGACTGATTACATATATTGCTTTCCCACACCCCTGGAAACCATCTGCTCCTTGAGAGCAGGAGGCAGGCTGCACATACAGGTTATCCAACACAACACTCTTGATGGTCTCCCAAGGTTGTCTGGGACTGACGGCTTCTCAGGATTCAGGACTTTGAAAGCTAAGACTGGGAAAGTCCCAGGCAAACTGGGATAGTTGGTCACTTTATTGGTGACAATGATGTGAGACTTTACAGACAGAAGGCATTTAATCAATGACTGTTCAATCAGATTCTTTCACACTTGTAAATTACAGATGAGAAAATGAAATGAAAATCCTAGTTTCCTCTGGTGGAAATCCACTTCTGAACCTTTGACTCTCCTTTTTTCCTTTGCATTTCCTTCAGTTTCTATCTTCAAAGATTTAGTGATCAGAAGAAAGACAAAAATCAACAAAAAAATGAAAAAGAAGGCACCCAAGTAGACTAGAGATAAGAAAATTAATGAGGGTGCCACTGCAAGGAGGAGAAAAAAGAGGGGTATGAATAAAGACTGACAATTAAGAGCAGTCTTGAAGATACAGGGAAAACTCCTTCAGGGCACAAGTAGTACTCCCTTGCTCAAATAATTTATATAAAAAGTAGAAAAAAATTAACAACAGCAGTTTCTATCTGACAGAAACTTAGAACAACACCCCATATTCTCTCTTTCCCACAATCCTTGAAAGATACATTTTAGCAAATATAAAAAATAAACTGACCCATTTAACGAGCAGAAGATTCCAGAAACTGCTTACCAAATAACACTAGGTGTTCTCTGACCATGTTGCATGGGAAAGAGGACAAATTACCCTATGACCCAACCTTCTACTCTTCTCCCTTCCAAAACCCTCCGGCCTCTTTGTAATCAGTAAACACTCCTATATCCTCAACTTCTCCTCTAAACATTCCCCGCGTCTCGCGGTAATTCTCAACTGTGAGTGTATTAGAATTACCAGAGGCGTTTTCAGAAAATACTGAACCTGAGCCCCACCCCAGGTCTATAAAACAGAATCTCTGGAGATGAAGCCCAGGCGCTGGTAGTTTTTAAAGTACTCCCCAGGTGATTCTAATGTGCACCCAGATTGAAAATCAGAGTCACCTGCACAAACTGGCTGGCCCCTGAGAGTAGCACTCCTCCTGCAGCCCTCTGAAGTGGACGCTTTTAATAGAGTCTCTCACACCCTATGTAATTTAAGACCGGTGTCCTTATTTGTCCTAATGCCATCTCAAGACCATTCCCTCTATTCCTCCCTCAGGAGAAATCTTTTCTCCTTTGTGGCTCACCCACCGGGCTATACCAGCTTCTTCCGTTACCTCCGCCATGAGATCACCTACCATCCCTCTTAGAAACTTCTGAATCCAGGATTCAATACCTGACTCCTAAGACTTTCTCTCCACTCAAACTCCTGTCTTAATTTTGGGTCCCTTCAAAATTAGCACAGAAAACCCAGGCAACACCTTCAACTTCCTCATCCAATGACCTTGCCCCTCCCATCTCAGCCATCTACTCCCTCAGTCCCAACCGGGACTTCCTCAGTTCCACTCTGGACATTTCATCACAGAAACACCACCACCTCATAAATCCCTAATCCAAATCTCCCACTCTGACCTATTACTCCTTCCAGCTTACTTGCTCATATGGGAACCTCCAGCCCCTTGATTTCTCCATTTTGTCAATATCCATTCACTCTCTCCTGCTTTCACTTCCCTTTTTATCAAAAAGATGCCATCACCGCACTCTGTTGCAAAAGCCCAGAAGTGCCTTAACTATTCTGTTCTTTCACAGCACCTACTGGCTAACTTCCAACCCTCAGAAATCCAAGTGCCTTCTCGGTACTTATATCTGAGCAAACAGAGGGAGTAAAAAAAACAAAAACAAAACCACACACAGAGGGAGTAAAAAAAAAAACACACACACACAGTAAAACACACACACACCCATCATTATAAACTGACTGCTAACCTCAACCTCAACTGGGCCCTCTATGATGGGAAGCAATCTAAGTTCCCATAGTCAACTTGTCTCCTACTACTATCTGGAACAACTATTTCACATCTTCTCATTTATCCTCAATCTTTGGATGCCCTCTTCTCAAGCCCTCTCATTCCAAGCGGATTGCTTCACCTCATACTTCAGAGAAAATGGAAGCCATCACATGGAAACTTACCTGTATTTCTGCACATCTTCTCCTTTCCCTTCTGATACAAGAAAGAAAAGTACTCCTATCATAGGCCACCTTCTCTTCGAATTACAACTCCTCTCATTCTCTTAGGAATCTCACTCTCAACGATCACTCCCTAGACACGTCCTCCCAATATCTTTAACCTCTCCCTTTCATAGGCTCCTTCCCATCAGCATTACATTTAATCGTGTTTTAAATCCTCCCCATTTTAAACACAAAAAAATCTCCTGGACCCCGTATGTCTCTCCGACTCCAGTCCCTCTCTATATTCCCCTCTGCAGTCAAATTTCTTTTAAAAACACACAGTTGAGCAAGTGCTCACCCTCATTTCTCTCTTTAATCCACTCCAATATGACTTTGGCTTCCACCACCCCTCTGATATTGCTTTGATAAGGCCACCAATAACCTCCATATTGCTAAATCCAATGGATACTCTTCAGTCATCTTATTAGACCTATCAGCAGAAATCAGCAGTTGGCCACTGCTTGAAATAGGCTCTTCCAAAAGTTTCTATGATACCATACTCACCTAGTTTGTCTCGCTCTCTCTGGTCACTAATTTTTAGCGCTCTTCAAGGTATCTCCTCTATCTAATCTTTAAAGAGTAGAGTTCCTTAGAGTTCAATCCTAAACCTCTTTTCTCACTCTATATCAGCATTGTCCAATAGAACTTTCTATGATGATGGATGTGTTCTATAACTATGCTGTCCAATATGGTAACTAATGACCACACATGTAATGAGCACTTGAAATGTAACCAGTACAACTGAGGAACTGAATTTCTAATTTAATTTCTCATCACTTTAAAGAGGCACGTGTAACTAGTGGCTACTATACGTGACATATCATCTCGCATGGTTTCAAATACCATCTATGTGATTCTGATCCAGACCTTTCTTCTGAGCTTTACATGCATATATTCAACTGCCAATTTATTTACACTCAAATGTCTCAAAGAAATCTCAAACTAAACATAGCTAAAACTGAATTCATAAACCCCCAAAGGAAACTCATTTCTCCTGCAGTGTTCTTATTTCCCCAAATAGTACCATCATCCACATTCATGTCAGAAACCTGGGATTCATCCATGACACTTCTCTTCCTCTCACCCTCTACACCCAAGCCAACCTCTGTTGATTTCACCTCCCCAAACATTTATCAAATCTGTCCACTTCTCTCCATTTCTACTGCCACCATATTCTCCAGCTTAAACTACTGAAACAGCCTCTAACTGGCTTCCACGCAAATGACGACACCCCAGCATAAAATCCCTCATATTCTTCCCATTTTTAAAATCTAAAAATCCAGATTCCTTACCACAGCTTACAAGATCCTACTGGATCTAGCCCTAGCCCATCCTAGCTTGGTGCCCAAGCCTCGTTCCATGTACCCTGGCCTTCCTTCATTTCAAAGAAAATGCCCAGCTACTCCCCAAGTTGGGGCCTTTACATATCTGGTTCCCTTGACCTGGAATACTCATCTCTCCTCCATTTTTACCCGTCTCTTACTTGGCCCCTCTGGTTTCAATTTAAATGTCACTTCTTCAAAGAGGCCTTCCCTTACCACCCTGCCTAATTTAGTTAGTCCTCTTAAAAACCCTTTGTATTTCTCCTTGATAGCATTTATCAAAACTGCAATTATGTAAGTATCTATACCTTATCAGTTTAAAGTCTGTTTCCTGCACTAAGTTTCATGAAGTACCATGGCCATATTGCTTTCTGCTATATCCCTAGAGCCTAGCACAGAGCCTGGCACATTCATATTTTTATAGAATGAATTTATGGACCGCAGGCATCTATGCGACACTAGTAGCAAACAGCACAGAAGCAAGAACAAAAGCAGGAGCAGCAAGCTTATCTATGTTGTTCTCTACTGATTCTGCAGCACTTAGAACAGTGCCTGGCAAATAGAAGGCGCTCAACAAATATTTGCTGAATAATGAAAAAATCAGGCAGGGTTTAGTATAATACAGTCCATCAACACGTCAAATAAGGAAGAACAATACAACCATCTCTATAAATACTGAAGACGTTTGATAAAATTCAATAGACATTCACAATTTTAAAAACCACACAAACTTGAAATAAATGCAGTTCCTTAATATGGTTTTAAAAAAACTGTGTCACAACCAGAGGCACTCACAACTAGAATATACAATTATATACTGGGGGGCTTTGGGGAGAAGAAACATAAAAGAAGATAGATTGGCAACAGTTGTTAGCTCAGGTGCCAATCTGTAAAAAAAAAAAAAAAGTCAAATCAATAGGCAATAAGCTCCTCAGCAGTGAAGCACCACTTGAGGCATTCTCACTAAAATCAGGAGCTAACCAAAAATCATCATTTAACACTGGTCTCAAAATCCTTGTCTGGGTAATGAGACATGAACCAAAACTAATAGTTACAGCTACTAGAAAGGAGACAAAATTATTATTTGCAGATGGCTAGGGTTGTCTACCAAAACTGAAAAACAAAGCTAAAAAAAATTAAAAATATTTTTCTGTGAAGTGGCTAGATAAAAGATAAATATCTAAAACTCAATAGCTGCTTGGTATAGTAGTAATAAGCAATTAGAAGATAAGAGAAAAAAATTCCCACTGACAATAGCAGCAAACAAATAAAATCTACCATAAAATATTTAACTTACAAATACACGATATACATAAAGAAACTACAAAACGTTACTGAGAGATATAAAGAGAACCTGAATAAGTAGAGGGATGTACCATGTCCTTTACAGTGACTTAGTTTTATAAAGGAGTTAATTTAATAAAATTTGGCACATATCTATGGTGAAATACTGGTCATTAAAAATCATGTTTTTAAATAATTTTAAATGACATGGAAAAAGGACATAATATAATGTTAAAAGAAAATGCAGGATAAAAACTACATACAAGCATTCCAAGTATGTAAAAATATAAAAAAAGACTGGAAGGAGATAAATATAAAACTGTTAACTACAGTGGTGATCTCTAGATTGCAGGAACACAATTTTAATTTGATACTTTAAACTTTTCTGAATTTTCCAAATTGTATATAATGAAGATATATTACCTCCATAATCAGAAAAAAATATTTTAAAATGTTTAATGCCAACATCCACACAATGGGAGAATACACACTTACACTAAAATCAGGCCTGCCTAACAAACCCAGGCACCAACATCCACACAATGGGAGAATACACACTTACACTAAAATTAGGCCTGCCTAACAAACCCAGGCACCTCTCTTGCAACATACTGTGTACTCTAAAGGTTTACCCATGAAGCCCAAGGATCAAGATAAAATCTGGTTTCAGTGCAAATATTATTAAATGAGCAGAAATAACAAAGGGTTTTACTCAAGTGGTTACTTAACCATTCTCTCCCTATGATCCAGTAACTTGAACTCTGGACAGAGCAACACATGGCTCATTTCTATGTAGGAGAGGCCAAGAAAACTAATGCCATAAATTAGGTGTTTATAAGAGAAAAGGCACAGGTCACTTTAACTTTTCAGCTTTGGATCAAATATCTATTTCCACACCAAGAACAGGACATGTTGGTATCTTATTTCAGCAGCAATGTCAGTCACTGCTGAACGGCCTTTGCTCAGAGTTTGCTTTTTCAGTGTTGTTTTTGCCCTCTCCTTTCTAAGCACAATAAGACATAGATATTAAGTTATTTGCTCTCTTGGATAACTGCAGTAGAAGTCAGCAGCTGGGTTTACTTAGCTTTTCAGGATCAGCCCTTAAGACTTCCAAAATCCATGACCAAAGAAAAGAATAATAAAACCGAAATCAGAAAAAGCCTACCTAAACTGTTCAATGGAAATTATTAGTGCCAAGAGAGGGACTGTGTCTAAACAAAATTATGCATAACCCATAGCCCCAAGCCTAAGGGTCAAGTCCCACTCATCCAAGGATTCAACCAAGAGATAAAGGAGCCATTTTGATTTAGATTCATGAGGTCACATACTCTTTTCTGTAGCAACTACAGAATAGTCACAGTAGCATTCAGGTGCCCGTAACAAGTACAATTAGATGATAAACAGAGAACAGCTTGCACAGAAAGTCCACGAAGATTTGCTTCAAACAGATAAAAACGAAAGAATGGAAAGAGTGAGAAGGAAGACCATGTTCCCTCTGATAAAGGGATGCCTTGAGGGGATGGGGCTTAAATAAAAGACCAAAATTGTTTTAAGAAAATAAGATAGGCCTGGTACAAGCAAGGTATCCCTGGTACAAGAGGGACTCTGCAGCCTCCCCAAGTAATACCACAAATAAGGAAAACATTATGATTTAACATGCAAAAATAAAAAGTGGGTGGGGAAAAAAAGCTTAAAACATAACAGTAGTTAAAAAAAAACACTCACAAACCTCATGTGCTTTAACATTTTCTGGCTCTTCCTACAATTATCAATTCCACAGCAATGAATTAATTGATAGTAACAATACCAGTAACTCAAAGAAGTTCAGCGCTAGAAAATCAGATATTTTCAACTTTTTAAAGATTCTTGCCAGCCACTAGCTTTTTCTTATGCTTAGCCTAAATGTTTTTGGGAGGCAAGGCTAATTTGTATGGCTGCCTTAAGGAAATGGTGAATACAGGATAAGGTGGTAAGATAAAAGATATGCCAAAAAAGGTGTCTTAAATATACAAGTGGGTATTCAAGAAAATATTTGTTGAAAGAAAATCAACTCCATTCAGAAAGATACTCACTGTTTGAAGCTATATCAATCAAAAGAGTTTCTTCCGCTTCTGAAGGAAAAGAAGAAAGAACAGGATCAAGTAAGAGAAAACCATTCATTAAAACCAAAAGTACATGCCTAACTACATCACTGCTTCTCTCAATGACTCCTCCTAGGTCTCAGAACACATTTAAAAAATACTTTGCTTTTTTGTCTACCATTTTTTAAAAAGGATTTTAATAGCACTAGGTTCTAAAGATTATGAGCAACTCAACTAAGAGAAAACTGATCTGAACAAGTAACTGAATGGGACGCCTCAAAGCAAATGAAGGAATGACAAATTAATAGTACAGAATAGAACAACACGTTAATCCAAGTTCTGAAGGTGAGTTTAATTCCCCTCAACTATAACATACTGATTTAATATAATCTAATTCTTATAAAAAGCCCAGGAAGTGACCCCAAAGGCGCAGAGGTGAATTCCATTGTCAACTCAGATCTCGTCTCTGAAAATTTCCCAGGGATCTCATTACCTCGACCCCTGCCCCTTAGAGCAGCAGAGACTACCTGAAGTTCTTCATCTTCAGGCTACAATTAATACCCTGGGTCCAAGGCCTACCACACCCAACAGGGAAGTATAAAACATGAAATGGGGCAAAGCACAGTCTCTGAGTTCAGAGTTCTCTTTTCTCTTGATGGCTCTCCTGGACTTCCTTTCTTTACCTCTAGTGTCTAGACCCAACCCATCTCTTCCTCTCTGCCGTCCCTGGATTTGGCCAACAGCACCAAGTACACTCTCCTGGCTAGCTGAACTCTGGGTACTGACTCCTTGGATTATCCTGGATCTACCTTGGCCAGACGATGTAGTCTCATCCTTTTCTAGCTCCCTCACAATCCTGGATTGTATATTTGGCTCCGTTATTCAGGAACAACAGAAGCAACTGGTAAGGAACTAAGTTGTCTAACGTTAGAGAATAGTCTCAATACGCTTACTAGCATGATGAAGCAAGGGACAATAGAGCATCAGGACAAAAGTATTATACGTTCACAACTGTTCTTCAGTAACTTTAATTCTTTAAACCTGAGTATTTACAGACTTTTTAAAATAGATGCACGGTTTGGGAAACAGAATGGATGTGAAAACTCAAGGAAGTAATTGTTCCTTTTGTCATGGGGGACTACTGTGTGTGCGCACACATATTTTCCTAGCTTCCAATCTAACAATCTGCCATCTATTTCTTATTAAAAACAATACTAAGAGAAACAGGGTAAAAGAGACGCTAGAAGTAGTACAAAAAGGTATAGCATTAGTAGAACACTAACCTAAAGTCATGTTCTTTGGCTTTCCTCCTCCTTACGAGGCTGGGTATGTAACAAAGGTGCTACACCATGAAAAGTGAGGTGACCACAGCAACTTACTATGGCATACAGGTGCCTTGGTCATTACGTCCCTCTCATACCAGGCAGGCTAAATGTCTACGACTTCCTTCTTCTATACGATGTGGATACTATTCATTGTGGGTATTTTTAATTCTCAACACATGCTGTATTAAGAAATCATACCCATTTAGTATTTCTACTTACAGTAATAAATCCTAAGGAAATAAGAGATGTGCAGTAAGATTTATGTACAGAGATGTTCATCACATTACTATTTATACTAGTGAAAAATAACCCAAATGTCAAACACAGGGGAATAATTATGTTATGGGCCATTCATAAAATGGAATAGTATAGTTATTAATAGCATGGAAAAGCACTCATAATATGATGGCATGTGGCACAAAACACTACATATAGTATCAGTCCCACTCACCCTAAAAGTTACATGTGTAGAAAAAAGGAAAATGTTAGGTGTTTATCTCTGAAGGATGGAAATTTACTTATTTTCTTTATACTTGTCTGTTCTTTCCAAACTTTTTATGGTATATATATTACTTTTGTGATCAAAAAAGTTCAGTGTAGTTTAAGAAAGAACGCATGCAAGGTAGGATTCAAGTTTTTCAAGAAGCTACAGCTGATACAGAATGCTTCTGTCTGATGAAGCCAACGGAGCCACTGGAAACATAAGGCATTTGTTCTCTAGTAATCAATTTCCTTTCTAGAGCAATGTGAGATGACAGAAGCAACACCTCCTACACAAAACCTCCCAATTTTTGAGTCTCATTGTAACAGATGAAACAACAGATGATCTGTTCTCTGTCTCCAAATTTGAGGGCAGGAAGCCAAATATTTCCTCCCCAGAGTCAATTTTCTTATGATTCAACAATGTCAAGGTTAGAGACTCAGCACAATTGAATACAAGGTATTACAGTTTGGCAAGGCATGTTACCAATTGTTTTAATTTCAAATAGTGTGGGGAGAAAGTGCTGAATGTGTGTGAAGCCAAGCAACCTTGAAACTCTACAATGAGCAGTGTGTCAGTTAAACACAAGGATGTCATTTAAATCCACAAATATATATATATATATATATATTTTTTTTCAATATAATCATTCAGCACTCTTCGACAAAGCATTCATCATCTTCTCAATGGTAGGTTAGTAATGTTATCTTTTTATGCAAAGAGTACTACATTTCATGTGCAGTGACAAATTTAAAATATGTATGGTATCACACAATGCAATAATGACCAAGGAAAAACATCATAAAACTAGCTAAACAATTAAAGCTAGTACCTTGAACACATCTAAAGTGGCTATTTATAGGAATGATATCTTGAACATGCTGTTCCTTCTCGTGCAACTGGATTATTAACCTAGGAAACAGAAGAATGCATCAACGAATAGCTACTGAAAAACCCAAACATTTAACAACAAAATACACTGCTATATTGTTTTACACAAATCTAGTCTGTATTTATTAGACTTGTTATATCTCGATCTCTGGATCTGAGCATTGTGACAAGTAGATGTTGCTCTAGGTCTAAAAGGATATTAGTGGTGATCAGTATTTGAATACCGACACTGTCCTATGCCATAAAGAACATATAACAGTCTATGTCTTAAAAACAGCTTACAATCTTATGAGCATGAATTACAGTGAATACACCTTCAGAGTATGCATACCAGAGTGAAGAACTAGTAGCTAGGTGTGAACTCCACGAGGGCAGGGACTACAGTTGTCTTCACCATAGGATTTCCAGCACTTAGCACAGTGCCTGGCACACAGCAGTTCCTCAAGTTTGATGAAATGAATTAGAAATTTCATAAATTAGTCTTCCAATTATATTCCCACGGCTTTTATCAAAGAATGGTTCTATCTCTTCAAACAAATATACAGGTTCATGGAGAATTTAGGGGAGGTTCCCAGCCAGCTGGATGGCTCAAAATAACCCCAGTGACCAACAAAGTAGCAGATATCACCAGATTGCCTTTACATCCCTTGTGTTTTTACTCTGGTTTCCAACTTCATGCTGGGTTTTTTTTTTTTTGAGGAGAGATGGTCCCTGAGCTAACATCTGTTGCCAATCTCCCTTTTGTTTTTTCTCCTCCCCTAAAGCCCCAGCACATATTGGTAAATCCTAGTTGTAAGTCTTTCTAGTTCTTCTATGTGGGATGCCGTCACAGCACGGTTTGATGAGTGGTGCGTAAGTCCACGCCTAGGACGCGAACCGGTGAACGCTGGGCCGCCAAAGCTAAGCACGCAAACAACCACTCGGCCACAGGGCCAGCCCCTTCATGACGCTATTTTTAGGTAAACATGACGGAAGAACTTGGCCCCCCAGTATGAAATGTGAGACTTCTAAATTCCTATGTACTCCTGAAATGTTAATTTCCATTTACTGCTTATCCTTAGTCGCCCAGGATCAAGGTATAATCTACTGGTAAGTGGCTTTTCTGAACATCTCCTAGCTTCCCCCAAATCAAGCACTCTTCAGGTGGTTCTTTTTGCCAGGAACACTCTTCTTTTCTTCCTGAGACTCACCTCAAACATCAGCTCCCCTGTGAAGCTTCCCCCACACCCCCTAGCAGAACCAGTGGGCCTCATCCTCTTTGCCTGCTCCTGTAATAGAGCACTTACACACTCCATTACAGTTATATTTATTTCCCTCACTGACTGGAGCTCCTTGAAAGCAAGGACCCTACCGTATTCAGTTTTGTCTCCTGCCTAATAGATGCTCAATAAATATTGGTTGAATAAACTAGCTTAATCAAGCTATAAACAGAGATGCATTTCTAAATACAACCATTCAACTTCTGTCATTAAAAATGTCATTGTTTTGAAGCGTTGGATTTCTGTTTTGTTGTCTCTTGGGGGGCTTGTTGTTTTAGCTTTTAGAATTTTTTTTTCAAATGCGTTAACTTTGAAGGAGACAACTGGGGGCAAGGAATAGCTTAGACAGAACTAAGCGAAATAAAAGTATTAACGCTGTCTTTCTGCTCTGATCCTGTTTGTCTAATTTGCTGGGGTTTCTATTTTAGGTGACTAAGAGGAATATGGGGCAGGCCCCTTTCATCCTGCAAAGTTCCTTTATCGAGCAGAGTCCTATAAATCCAGATGGAGACCAGAAACTAGATAAAAGACTGACAAAGCAAGGGTCAAGGAGGAAGAGCTTATTTTGAGGAAAATGAACACAAAACCAATATAATCTCAAAGTAATGTAGACTAAAAATGCTGCTGACCACTAGTGGTAAAGCTTCAAATGGACCGTGTTGTTAAAAACCATCACAAAAAAGACAACATGGATGGACCTTGAAGGCAGTTTGCTAAGTGGAATAAGTTAGACAGGGAAAAACAAATACTGTGTGATCTCCCTTATACGTGGAATCTAAAAACAACCAACCAACCAAACTCATAGATACAGATTGGTGGTTGTCAGAGGTGGGGGATGGGGGTGGGCAAAATAGATGAAGGAGGTCAAAAGGTACAAACTGCCAGTTATTATAAGATAAATAATTCATGAGGCCATAAGGAACAACATGACCATAGTTAATAATACTGTAATGTATATTTGAAAGTTGCTAAGAGAGTAAATCTTAAAAGTTCTCATCCCAAGAGAAAAAAAAAGGAACTACGCATGGTGATACATATTAACTAGACTTACCATGGTGATCATTTTGCAAACTATACAAATACCAAATTATGATGTTGTACACCTTAAACTAATATTTTATATGTAAATTACATCTCGATAAAAGAAGAAATGCACCCCTCCCCCCCAAAAAACCCACCACAAAACAAAGATAAACTGGGAATTTAAGTCAATTCTACAAGTATTTATTGAATATCTATTATGTCTTAGTAACCGTAGCAAGAGAGAGGACTAAGAATAAGCATAAAAATTCTACCTAAGTGTACTCATTCCTTTCAGAACAGAAAGATGAAAAGTAATAGGCATATAGCAAAACAATGGAAATCAGAATTTGGTAGTTGTCAGACGGAAAAGAGTCACAAATTGTGACTGCAGACTCAGCATTATCCCTAGGAAATACTTTGATTTGTTCAAGGAAGGTTAAAGACGAAACAACAGGTTGTGTCATAATCCATTTTCCTGGAAAAAAATGAATGTTAGTGTTTGATTCTTTGTTTCCAAAAAAAACAATTTGTAATTGTAATGTTAGTCTGGCAAGTAAATTTCTCCTATGCTCAATAGCAGGAACCACGGAACTAAAGATTAAATAGGCTTCAAATTCAAGGATAAAAACCCAAAAGTTAAAAAGTTCTGGACACCCAAGTCAGAGCAGGCACCCAAGAAACAAGAACCTGAGGATTATAGATGGTATGATAGTATTAGGGGTCTCCAATAAATGATTTCAAAAGAAACTTCTCAGACAATGTAATCCTGAGATATGTTACATGGGTTCATATCTCAGCTATGCTACTTCCCAACTGCGAGGGAGTGACTTAACCTCTTTGTGCCTTCATTTCTATATCTAGAAAAGGGGGATGATGATATGACTATTTCACAGGAACTCTCATGTGAGGGTTAAATAAACTAATTTATGAAAAGTGCTTAGAAGAGTACCTGGTCCATATCAAGCCATTAAGTATTAGATGTTGCTATTCTCCCATAACTTACAAAGAACTGGAACACAAGAATTGGATTTCTCTGTGAGGAGGACACAAATAGTCAGGAGAGCTACCATCCTTTAGAAGTTCTTCTGGTACAAGAGTCCAGATAGAAAGGGATATTTATCTCAAGGCCGCTGCTCACTCCTTTATTAGTTGAATAGAATTACAAACATAGTGAACCAGGGGACCAAATCCCCGGCTGCGGTCATCTCTACAATGTAGCTATTTTATTTAATCCTCTTCATTTTGTTTTTGACAGGAGAGGAAATCGAGGCACAAATGTTTACTCATTTGCCCAAGGGGGTCACATCTGTCCAATCCGTTCTAGCCTTTGGAAGCGGCAGTGGTGTTCCACTTTTCAATTCACTTTTCTGTTAAATTTACTTTTCTTAAATTGGTCCTTCAAGGTTTGGTGAAATCTGGGAAAAGTGATATGAGTTTCCCACATCAACAGAACCGACCAAGCAGGAGCTGGGGAAGAGCTACTTCACAGAACCAGCCGATGTCCAGTTACAGTGTCACCAAGAGTCTCAGAAAAGGGCAGGATAGGCCAGTGGGAATTTCTTCTGTGTAAATTAGACACCATAGACACAGACTGACCGGACAATCTAAAAGCGGGGACTGAGAAAAATTGTTTTTAGGCAGAATCCAATGTCGGCAGATGGCAGGATTTAAGTGATCAACAATTTTTAAACTCTGATGTCAAGAAACCAGTGAATAACCAAAGGAAGCGGCTTGGGCACACAAGGAGAGGGGCCTCTGACATACTGTGGTCACCATGGATACTTTCAAGATGAGGCATTAGTGGTAAGGGAGTGAGATCAGTAACTATGGTGATAGCTTATCAAAATAATCTTTTGATGCATCAGTCAACAGTACTTACTGAGCTCGTATGTGCAAGGCAGAGTGGAAGGTAACACACTGATAAAATGCCAAATGTCGTTTATATTTCTACACATTTCATTATTTTTTCTAACAGTCAAGTCAATAAGTGAGGCAGTTACTGGCCTACACTAAACCATTACTGAATTAATGACTATGCCTTCAAGCAAGTGGAATAAGGGGGTGGGGAGAGTGGAGGAACCAGTTGAATGGGGTTAAGAAAAGGCACTTCTGTAAGGTTAATAATGAAGCGTTTCTATAGCACTTTTCCTTTTTGTAAACCACTTTCGCATTTATTATTCTCCCAGTTAAAACTCCAAAGGCTATAAGGTAAGGCAGTTAATGTTTTTATTTAACTGATGAGGCCCAGAAAGCTTTATTGACTTGCCCAAGGTTACACAACATGTGTCAGCTGCAGAGGCTGGAACAAAGAACCCAGGCTTCCTGCTTCCCCGCCCATTGAGTCTTCCCACTGAGCCACACTGCCAGGAGCAATCCAGCAGCTTGGAAGTTGGGGAGAAAGCCCCGTGGTTAAACCACTTGCACTTGACACCTGGGCCTGAACCTGTTGCCCGCGCGGCCTCAGTGGGAGGAGGGTGGGTGGCTTGTCGCGGTTTGGGGTTGGGAGGTAATGGCAGGCTCCCCTCCTCTGTGGGAATCAGGTGGTTACTTACTCATATTGCCCGTTCCTCTGGGCTAGGGTCAGAGCGCAGGGCTCCCGGAGAGGACCCTTCATCTCCATACCCTCGACAGTATGCGGGCGCTAGTCAAGGGTCTCTTTTAGAAGCGCAGCCAGGGAGGGGTGGCGCGGTGCGGGGTGGTGGGAGGCTCTCGCCCCCTGCCCGCCCCCCGCCCCCCACCCCTCCTCCCCATTCCCCTCCTCCCTCCCCTGTACCAGAGGCAGCGCCTCCCACGCCCGCCTCCCTCCCCCGCCCCGCTCGGCCTCCGGGCCTGGCCGCCCCCGCTCCCGCCCCACCAGCCGCGGCCTCAATCTCTCCGACCCCCACCCGCCGCCCGCGCGGCCTCCCCTCCCCCTTCTCTCGGGCGGATACGGCAAGGGGCTGGGCTCCGACCGGGAGCGGCGGCTCCATCCGGGCGGCCTCCGGGCTCAGCCGGGCTGCGGACTGCGGGCGGATCCGACGACGCTGGCCCCCGCGTCCGTACACCCGCCCGCCTCGGCGGCGCGTCGTGCGAGGAGCGGCTCAGCGCCGGGCGCCGGGAGCCAGAGCCGGGAGCCGGGAGCCGAGAGCCTGACCCGAGAGAGAGCGGCGCCTCGCGCCCCCGCCAGTTTTCCAGGCCGCCGCAGAGTCCGCCCCCTGTGGCCAAGCTGCGGCACTGCAGCGAGAGACCCGACGGACCGGGGGCGTCTCAACCACGTCCAGCAAGGAATATGTTTCAAGTGCTGCCTGTGACACCGAAATTCTTCTGGGCACTTTGAAGATTGCCGCAGAAACAAAACACAGTCACGCCTATGATGGAACTCAAAGGCGTTGGGCCAATAGGACCCACATCATCCATTCAAAAAATCCTTATTATGGTTGACATGCGCCGGGCTGGTTATCCTCCCTCTCAGATGTTCTCCCCTTTCTCTTCCACCTCCTAAATCGGAAACATCTCCAAAGTTCAGACCTTTGCTCTTCCTTTGCAGCCCCTCTAGGTCACCTCTAAGCAGGCAACGCCCAAATATATATCCTGGACCGGGACCCTTTGCCTAGTATACCCCACTGTTGACAACACTGGATGACAAAACTAACTCATCATCATTTCACACAGCCACTCAGGCTTGAAACTTCAAAGCCATATGCTTTCTTCCTCGCTCCTAATTTCTCTGTATCCAATCAGTCAACAAACCTTGCTAATGTTTTCTTTGGAATTACTTTTTGATTCCTTGTTTTCTCTCCATTGACACCGCTATCACTTTATTATTAGCCTTTGTGACATCCCCTTTGACCATTTTACATGAGAATATGTACAGAAGTTCAGCAGTGGAACTCAAGCATACGATTTATGACATAAGTCATAAGAATATTCTTCCCAAAGTAACGCTTCAATTGTGTTTTTCATTTGCTCAAGAATCTACAGTGGATTAACTATCAAGACTGATTTTAAACCTATGGTAATTAAGACAGTGTAGAATGGAGCAACATAGACCAATGGAACAGAATACAGAGCCCCCAGACAGACCCAAACAAAGATGGAAAGTTGATATGCAACATATGTGACCTTTCAAATCAGTGAGGAAAGAGTGGATTATCCACTAAATGCTGCTGGGACTCTTGATCATCCATATGGAAAATTATAAAATTAGCTCCCTACCTCACACCACAGAAGAAAAATTCAGTTCCAGGTGGATTCCAGATCTAAATGTGGAAAGCAAAACTTGACAACTTTCAGAGGAAAACAGGAGAATATCTTTATGCGCTTGGAATAGGGAATGAAAATGACTATTTAAGACACTAGACAACACAAAAATAAAGGAATTGATTGCTACACTTAACTATATTAAAATTCAAGACAACATAAACAAGTTAAAAGACAAGCCACAGATTGGGAGAAGATACTTTCAATGCATATAACTGACAAAAGATAACCTATGAGGTTCTATACTTCTAGCTGTCATCACCTATCTGATTTCCTTTCCCACCACTCTCTCCAACTCCTGCTGCTTAGTCACACTGCTCCTTGCTATTCCTAGGACTTGCCAGGCACACTCTTGCCTCAGGGACTTTGAACTTGCTGTTCATTCTGCCTGCACTCTCACCTCCTTCAGGTCTTTTCTCAAATGTCACTTTCTCAGTCAGGCCTTCCTAGACAACTTTATTTAAAATTGCAGTTCAACAATTTCCTTTCCCACTCCCATACACACATGCTACCCACCCCTCTTCCCTGTTTATTTTTCTCCAGAGCATTTATCATTAGCCATTATTCTATCTTACTTCGCAATTTTGTTTACTGTTTACCTTTCCCCACTAGAATGAAAGTTCCATGAGGGCATGGATTTTTGTCCGTTTTGTTCATTGCTGCATTCCTAGTGCCTGGAACCATTCCTGAAACAAAGTAGATGCTAGAAAAATATTGATTAAATGAATGAATGAATGAGTATCCAGAATGTACAAAAACCCCTATAAATCAATGAGAAAAAAAGACCCAAATGGCCAATAAAGACATGAAAGGATGATTTACTTCATTACAATTCAGGGAAACTGAAAATTAAAACTATGAGATACCATTTCACAACCGTCGGGTTGGCAAAAACTTCAAAATTCAGACGACATCAAGTGTTGCCGAGGATGTGGAACAGATAGAACTCCGATCACTGCTAGAAGGAGTATAAGTTGGCAGAACTGCTATGAAGAGCAACGTGACATTGTATAATAAAGTTGGATAGGGAATACCCTTCAGAAAGTCCATTTCTAGCTACAGACCTGGGCAAAATTCTAACCTTTGTGCACTAGAAGACATGTAAAAGAATGTTCATTGCAGCATTATTTGTAATCTCACCAAAAAAGGAAGCAAATTAAATGTCCATCAGCAGGGGAATGGATGAATAAATCATGGTATTCATGAAGTTTAATACTATTTCAAAATTAAAAGGAGTAACTCAAGCTTGATGTATTAACGGAGTTAAATCTCAAAAATATAATGTTGAGCATAAAGAGAAAATTGCAAAACATGTATGGTATACCATTTATATAAAGTCTGAAAATATTATCTGTTGCTTATGGCTACATAGATATACATAATAGTAATAGTATATAAATCATGAAAGGGCATGATCATCACCAAATGCAAGGGCGAGAGAGGATTGACACTGGAGAGGGGACTACAGGGAACATCAACCGTATCTGTAATATTTATTTCTTTAAACACAATCTGAAAGTTGATGTTGCAAGATTTGCTAGAACTAGGTTGTGGGTACATATACGTTATCCTGTGTACTTTCTAGCATTTTAAATTGTTTGTAATCAATGAAAATGAAAAACAAAGAAATAATATGTAGGGGAGGGTTAGCGGTGTCAAACGTTGAAAACAGGACAAGGAAAATGAGGACTGAGAGACTTTCTCTGGGTGTATCATGGAGTTCACTGGAGACTGTTAAATAAGTGGTTTCAATAAGTGGTCAGGGTAGAAACAAGATGACAGGGTATTGAGAAGGGACTGTATCCTGAGCAAACGGAGACGAGAGACCACATATCGAAGAAGTTTGGAAGCAAAAAGGAGTGAAATACAATTTTAATTAAATTAGAAGAGTCAAAGAGAAATACTTACCAAAACTTGAAGCCACTTTAAAGCCATGAGAAGGAGCTAGCAAAGAAGGGGACATTTAAGGTATTAGAAGAGGGAAGCAGAAAGGTTGCAAGAAAAATCCCTCAGTAACTGGGAAGGACGAGCATCCAAGGTGCAGATGGAGGAATCAACCTTAGAGAAAAGGAGAGAGAGTTCTTCCTCCGAGTCTACAGTATCCCCAGCACCCAACACAGTGCCTGGCATATAGTGGGGTACTCAAATATTTGCTGTAAAGAATAAGAGGTTGTGAAGAATGGAAATACATTGAGGTGAGGACACTAAAGACTGTGGAGAAACTCTCACAGGGGAGGTGATGATTTGCTCAAAAAAAAGTAACAAGTGGATGTAATAACAATAATAATAATACTGGTGGCTAACATTGAATACTCATGCGACAGACACTCTCCTCATGGCTTTACGTACATACTTTCATTTAATCCTCCTGAAATCCCTGTAAAGTAGTAATCTTATCGTTTCCACTGTAAAGATGAGACAACTGACACTCAGAGAGGTCTAGCAACTTGCCCGTTAGTTAGTAAATGGCAGAATCAGGACTCAAACTTATGTCTGACTCTAAAGCCCTACCTTTTTTTTTTTTTTAAAAGATTGGCACCAGTGCTAACATCTGTTGCCAATCTTTCTTCTTCTTCTTCCTCCCAAAGCCCCCAGTACATAGTTGCATACTCTGATTGTGAGTGCCTCTGGTTGTGCTATGTGGGACGCCCCCTCAGCATGGCCTGATGAGCGGTGCCATGTCCACACCCAGGATGCGAACCGGTGAAAACCTGGGCTGCCGAAGCAGAGCGTGCGAACCCAACCACTGGGCCATGGGGCCTGCCCCTAGACTCCTAGCTTTTCAACTAACACATTACGCTGTTCATGCAATATTAACAGTAGCAACACTAAGTGTTTATTTAGAACCTTCTATGTGCCAGGCACTATGGTAACTGCTCTACCTGAGTTATCACATTTAATCTGATGAAATTGAAGTTAGATGCAGAGGGTTTGGGAACTTGAATAAGGCAGAGAAGGAGGGAACAGTCACTGTTGGAGACTGACAGTGAATCCAGAAAAGTTAATAAAGGGTTTTAGAGCAACAGAGAAAGCCCAACGCGAGGCAGGTGGCGTGAATTCCAAATCAGCACTGTAAAGTTACCGGTCTGTACCTTTCTCCGGCAATGCTTGGTGGATGGAAAGCAGGAGCAGAGAAAATATACCAAGAAGGTGCAGTAGGCTCAGGAATTAGTACAGCAGGCAGAGCAGACTGTCATGGGGTGACGGAGTCTGAAATGGTGTTTAGGACGCGTTGAAATAGCTGACCCTGGAGTCAAAGTTGGGTAAAGATATGTATCCCCTCAGCCTAGCACCAGCAGAGGGGATGAAGGCAAGCCTGACTAATTTAATCATTTCCCTGGGCCTGATCCTGTGGCAAATTGTTTTCTCTCCTTTTTTGGCACCACTTCAGGGACTGTGCTTACTTATGTGCTTCTGGATGTGTTAAGTCATTTTTGTAAGTTGGCTAAAATCGTTATTTTATTCCCAACCATCTTCTGACTTACCTATGGTTCTTAATGACACCTCTATTTACTTGTCACCCAAGTTTGAAACTTGAGGTTTATCCATGAACTCTTCTTCTCCTTTACCTATGATATCCAATAATCCAAGTTTTGTCAGTTCTATAGTAAATTTTTAGTGTATAGCTCTGATCGTTCTCACCTATCATCATCAGATGGTATTTTGCCTAACAGAATAAAGGTCTTATGCCAGATACTTGTATTTACATATAAGAGATATCCAATGCAAAGAGTTAATGGTCACTGAACAAAATTCAAATAAATGAAATTATAGATTCAGGTAAACATGAGTCTTACCACCTTTACCACCACACACACACACTCACACACAAACACAGACATACAATTAAATGGGTGCTCAGTGCCTGTCTTTTATCCACTAGACAACTATAACTAAGTGCTTAGGACTTACAGGCTTTTTAGAGACAAAATAAAAAAACTGAGATCTTAAAAAGAGACTA